TTATAACAGTTGAAGTAAGAGATAAGTCCCATCTAGATGGGGAATCAAGTACAGAAAAGTTTCACAAAGGCCCTGGCTAGTGTGGCTCTGGTTGGAGTGCCAGCCTGTAAACCGAAGGACTGCCAGTTCGGTTTCCGGTCAGGGCATGAGCCTGGGTGGCTGGCCAGGTCTCCATTTGGGGGGTGTACCAGAGGCAACGGATCAATAGTTCTCTCCCTCTCTTTCTCCCTGTTTCCCTCTCTCAAAAAATAAAATCTTTAAAAAACAGAACAAAAAGTTTCACAAAGGAAATTCTGTATCAAATGGCCCTGACACATGGGTGAGGACCCAGGATTAAAGACTGAAAGGGGTCCTTTAGTGCAGAAGAAGCAACATGAGCCGAGATATAGAGCACAAAGAGCAAACAATGCCACTGATATGGAAAATACAATAAAAATCTAAGAAAAAGGAAAAAAAAAAGTGAGTTTACCCATACCGCCCATGCCAGGCTGGTCTGTGCTTAACTCAACGGACAGTGGGGAGTCACTGAGTCCCAGCTGGGGAAGCGAGATATCCGAAAGGGACAGCAGTACACAAGAGAGACGGAAGGAAAGCAAAAATGTCAGGGGTTCCTGCAATAAGCCAAGGGAACGAAACATCGAAGCCCTACATCAGTGTGACAACAGCAGGAACAAAAAGCAGCAGATGCCAGAAATAATGCAGAGGCAGCCTCAAAAGACGGGGCAGCCGACCAAACCTGGTAGGGGGCGGGGCGGGGGGGGAGGAAGATAGGCAAGAATGGTTCTTAAAGTGTGAATCCTGGTTAGCGGAGGGGACTGTTACTCCACAAAGCTGAGGTTAATCAGACACGCATCCAGGCAAGTCAAGTGCTGTTGTACCGCTTTTCTAACAGCTGGCTACAGTGCCATCTGCGGTAAATACTGTTACTTGATCATCCTCTGCGCCATCCAGGAAAAGTTACTTCTTGGTTTGATGCCCCCTCACTTGTGCAACCGCCTGGTGCACTTCTCCCAACAGGACACGCCCTGGAACTGCCGTGAGCATTCTGGGTTCTCTCCTGCCACAGTCACCATCCTCACTTTCTCACTTCCCCGCTTCTCCTTCCTTATCATACACCCAGCCCTGCCCACTCATGCCTCAACTGGACCCCTTTTCCTGCAGTGTCACTGTGCCTACTGTCTCGGAGTTCTGGAGACCACATCATTAGTTACCAATGTCCAGTGTGTCCTTTATTCCCACAACTAATGCAGAGGCCCATTAGAATAAGCCTTATACCTGATAGGTCTTGCATTGCTCACAGTTGCATTGTTTTGCACACAATATATACTTAATAGACACTATGGCGATCCAAAGTCAATTAATTTCTAAAAATATTCACGTCTTATTTCCTCACGTAACGTGAAATGGAGAGGTTCACCACTTAACAATGTCCTTGAGACTTCCGGCCAAGATGGAGGCATCGGTAGACAAACTGTGCCTCCTCACACAACCAAGATAGGGACAACACCACTTTAGAAACAGAATAACAACCAGAACTGACAGAAAACTGAACTGATTGGAAGTCCTACAACCAAGGAGTTAAAATAGACACGTACATCCAGACCGGTAGGAGGGGCAGATTCGGGAAGCCAGGCGGAGAGGGGTCGTGCTGCTCAAAGAGCGTTGGGACCGGGCACATAGGGCAGACCCTGGGTGCGCAAGCAGCGCTGGCAGACCCCAGCCAAGGGGTGGCAACCGGCAGACCCAGAGAAGCGGTGACTGTGAAGCAAGGCGCTGCCCGAAACCCAGGATCCCAGCGCTGGGAAATAGAGCCTCGGGGCACTGACTGAAAACACCTGCGGGGGTTGAGGTGCAGGGAGAGACTCCCAGCCTCACAGGCGAGGTCATTGGAGAGACCCATGGTACACAAGCCCATCCACACAAGAAATATACCAGAAAGGTCCAGTTTGCTTGGGGGAAGCGGCGGAAGGGACTGAAATCGACAGAGAGTGGAGCAAGTGCCACTGTTCTCTCTTGGACCCTGTCCCCACATACAGCATCACAACCCGGCAACTGGGGTGCCCCACCCTGGTGAACACCTAAGGCTCCGCCCCTCATATGTAACAGGTGTGCCCAGACCAAAAAAAAAAAAAAAAGAGAGAGAGAGAGAGAGAGATGGCTCAAACAGAAGAACAAATGAAGCCCCAGAACCCATCCTTTTAAGCCACTGAGAGATAGCCAACCTAACAGATGCACAGTTCAAAACACTGGTGATCAGGATGCTCACAGAATTGGTTGATTTGAGTCACAAATTAGATGAAAAAATGAAGGCAACAATAAGTGAAATGTAGAAAAATACACAGGGAACCAATAGTGATGGAAAGAAAGCTGGGTCTCGCATCAATGGAGTGGACCAGAAGGAAGAAAGAAACAACCACATAGAAAAGAATGAAGAAATAAGAACTCAAAAAAATGAGGAGAGGCTTAAGAACCTCCAGGACATCTTTAAATGTTCCACCATCCGAATTATAAGGGTACCAGAAGGAGAAGAGGAAGAGCAACAAGTGGGAAAGTTATTTGAACAAATAATAAAGGAGAACTTCCCCAATCTGGCAAAGGAAACAGACTTCCAGGAAGTCCAGGAAGCTCAGAGAGTCCCAAAGAAGTTGGACCCAAGAAGGAACACACCAAGGCACATCATAATTACATTAGCCAAGGTAAAAATGAAGGAGAGAATCCTAGAACAGCAAGAGATAAGGAGACAGTAACCTACAAAGGAGTTCCCATCAGACTGTCAGCTGATTTCTCAAGAGACCTTGCAGGCAAGAAGGGGCTGGAAAGAAGTATTCCAAGTCATGAAAGGCAAGGACCTACATCCCAGATTGCTCTATCCAGCAAAACTTTCATTTAGAATGGAAGGGCAGATAAAGTGCTTCTGAGATAAGGTCAAGTTAAAGGAGTCCATCAACACCAAGCCCTTATTATATGAAATGTTAAAGGGACTTATCTAAGAAAAAGAAGATCAAAAACATGTATAGTAAAATGACAGCAAACTCACAATTATTAACAACCACACCTAAAACAAAAACAAACTAAGCAAACAACTAGAACAGGAAAAGAACCACAGAAACGGAGATCACATGGAGGGTTAGCAACAGGGGAGTGGGAGGAGGAGGGGGGGAAAAGGTACGGAGAATAAGTAGCATAGAATGTAGGTAGAAAATAGACGGGGGGGGGGGCAAGAATAGTATGGGAAATGTAGGAGCTAAAAAACTTATGACACATGGACATGAACTAGAAGGGGGGGAATGTGGGTGGGAGAGGGTGTGCAGGGTGGAGGGGGATGGAGGAGGGGTAATGGGACAGCTGTAATAGAATAATCAGTAAAATATTTTTTTAAATGTCCTTGAGTTAAGAACCTTTAATCTTAAGAGCGGCTACTACCTTAAAAGATTATTTGAAAATACCATTTTGTCATAAACATTTGTGCCAGCTGCCTTTTAATTTTAATCCTTTTGACTTGAAGGTATACCAAATGGTTCAGGGATCATCAGCCCAGTGTGATTACGACTTAGAAATAACCCAATTTTCCATAATGACTTATTTTCAGAAGGCTAGTAAGAGGTTTTTTCTACCACCCTGTTCAACTAGCCATAGTATATAGAGCAGCAACTTTTAACTTTTTTCATCTTGTCATACACATACACTAAGTACAAAAATTCTGCAGCACATTAAAGAGTGTATTTTCTTTGCCTCACCAAAAAAATAAAAGGTATAATTTTGATTTATTCACAACCAACTATGGTTGGCTATTGTTGTGTTGACTGTTGTCACTTTTTCATTTGAAAATCTGGGAAAAGAGGTCAGAGTCAGGTACTGCATGTATTCTTGCAGATTACAGGTTGAAAATCTGCTAGTATAGATAATTCAAAGTATAGCCACAGAAAAGTATGTATCTTTTTTTAAACAAAGTAACAGCTACCTCCACTGGTCCCTCTCTCAATTAACTACAATGGTTCAATTCAGTTTCAATCCTTTCTTATAGGTCAGGGAAAACAAACAGAAATGAGGTTTATCGAGGAATTATAAAAATGGCACTGCTGTGAAAAAGAATCCAAAAACATTTGTGGGACAATAACCTTATCAAACATGCTCTCATGACTAAGATATTTCCTCTTGCAAAGGAAGCAAGAGAGGTGTACTCTGCCAATCAAACTGACCCTGGTCCCCTAAACACCGGGCGGGCAGTGCAGCGATGACAACCACTTCTCGTCCGTGGAGGATTCCCGCTAAGGGTGTCCCTGGACTTCTCTTTCCTCCCGGCGGAGCGGACGCCGAGCTGACCGCGTCCGTCCTCTGCGCTAAGGTGCGCAGCGCTGCGGGGTCTCGCACGCAGATGACCTCAGCTGTTCCGCCGGAGCCATCTGTCCTCTCCCCTGAGGCCTCGCAGCCCCTGCCCCTGCCAACACCAGGTCGTCCAGGGGTCCCGGCCTGAGCCCGGGTCCCCTCCGGACTTCATTATTAGGAGAGGACCTTACAGTGCCCCAACCCTCCTTCCCCAGAACTAGCGCGCGTGGCTGCGCGCGGGGCCCAGACCCGGGGGCCGCGGCGAAGGGGGAGGGGAGGGGCGGTGCGCTGACCGTTAGCCGCGGCGGATGCTGCGCCCCGACACACGCAGGATGGGCTCTTACCGCAGCGAAAAGGAAGGCAGCGGGGAGGCGGCGCCCGGCCCGACGCTAGCGGGAAGACCGAGGCGACGGCGTGGGAGACGGCGACAGCAGCCGCGGGGGACCCCGGGGGGCGCCCAGGACGCGGCGGGCGGCATGGGCGCCGCCATAGTGAGGACGCAGCGGCGGGCGGAGCGCGCGTCCGCGACCGAGGACGGCGAGACCACCAATCCCACTCTTCGCCTCAGCGCCCTCGCCAGGAGTCGGGCATCTGCGGCCAATCCACGCGCAGGAGCCGGGCGGGGCGCCGGGATGACCAATGCAGAGCTGTGCTATGGCCAGTGGGCGGGCACAGCCCCGGAGTGGCACGATGGCACCGGAGCCCCGAGTTTCCGGAGCCCACCACGCCGCCCGCGGGCGGGGACCGGCGCCGCAGCCTGTGCGAGGCTGCTGAGGGGTCGTGCGGTCCCGGACGCCTGCTCGGCGCTGACGCCCTGGCCTGGGTTCTCAGAAGCACGTCCGACGTCTGGAGGATTCCTCCGTGTCTGGCTTCCCTTCCCGGCGGACGTGCATTCGAGATGCCAAAGTCTGATGGCCACACGACTCGGTGTCCGCCAGGATGACCCAGCCTTCCAGAGCCTGCTTCTTCGCCCGCGCGCGCGGGGCCTCCTGGGCGCAAGGTGCCGGGTGGCGTTCCACGCCAAGGAGAACTGCCGGTTCGTTCCTTGAGACCCAAGGCTTTGGCCTGCAGGGGCTGGGCGACCCTGTGCTATCGTGTGAGTTAAGGGTGGACGGGGTTCTCAGGCTGCGCTTCTGTATTACCAATCTGAGCCTTACAAAAAAATATTTGTTCGGGGTTAAGACTACTCCGTCCCATCCCATCCCGTTTAGCCTTTGCAGCTCCGGCGGTCCCAGCTCTTTCCCATCCTACTCCCTCATTCAACCAAGACCGCATGATTTATCCTTTTTTAAAGTTTATTTATTCCTAGAGAGAGGGGAAGGGAAGGAGAGAGGGAGAAACATTGCTGTGAAAGGCATATAAATCAGGTGCCTCTTGCACGCCCCCAACGGAGGGATCTGGCTTACAGGCCAGCACTCAATCCACTGAGCCACAGCACCTAGGGCAACACCTGGGCATAATTTAAATGTGGTCCCTCAGGTGGGAAGAGGAAATCTCAGGCTGCAATCCTTGGTCGCCAACCTGAAGACTCTATCCTAAAGGAGGGCACTTTGCCCTGGCAAAAGGCCTCTAGGAGGAACCTGCCTAAGACAGGTGAGGCCACCCTTCCCTAGCGTGAGTCCTGAGACCTTGTCCCGACTAGACAGGCGGGCAGGCAATGAGGGAGACAACTGCTTGTTGTGTGCACTCTAAATAAAATCTCATTACGTCTTTAAACTTTGGTTTTCCCAGGGTTATTAGGCTGACCAAAATAAAAAGTACCAAGTTTCAAGAAAAAGTTAAGAACTCTGCTGGGATCAGATCAAGAATCCCAGCTGTACAGTTCTTCCAGGTAAAGTAGGGTCAGTGGAGGAAGTGGGACCCTGGCGATTCTGGGGAAGTTCCTTTCCTCAATGGTGTGTGTTCTCAGGGCTCACCAATCCATTTAGACTTCTGCCCAGTCTTACCTGATGACCCCCTGGGAATCACTGGGTGCTGCACAAAAAAACAATCTCCCTTTCTTGGCCTCAGGAGGGAGCTGGCATAAAATAAAATGTCTTTGAAACCTGCTGCTCCCAGCTCCACGCACCCCCCCCACCCCCCCGCCAGACACCAGGAAGCAGCCACCTCCCAAGCCCCAGGACACAAAGAAGCATTGAGTTGTTGAGCTGACCCAAGCCTCTCTGCATCCAGAAACGGAGTGCCTGGTGGCTCTGCTGTCTCTAAATCCTGCACCTATTCACTGGCCCCTCCTGGCTTGCTGCTGCTGCTCTGTCCCTGTCCACCTGGACTTCAGGAAACCACCGGGCACAGGGACCAGGTCTTTCTCCAGGGAAGTTTCTCCACCAAGTACAGACAGCTCCAAGCAGCTTCAGGACCCCCCTGGGATGCCTCTGGGGGTTGAGTCCCTTGCTCTTCGAGCACCTAAAATGTACTGCCTGTCAAGCTGGTTCAATAATTTATGTGAAACAGACTATGGGATGAACTTGACCAGCTCAATTAAGTGGGTCAGAAGAAATTCAAATTTGGTTCTACAGGCTGAGTGGCGGTCTGGTCTTTCCTTTAATACCTCCTTCCAATCTCTAAGGAAGGGAAGCAAAAAGAGGTACCCATGGCCAGAGGTGCCTCTGCTCCCCCATCCCACCGTGCTGGGCCTAATACAGAGCCACCACACCAGAATTTGAGCAGGAACCCATCTCTTTAGGACAGAGTCCTAGATCTTTGCAGGCTGAGTCTCCTTAAAATGCACAGCCTTGCTCCAGAGCCTATGACTCTAGATACACCCTCAGCCTGACCCTGGGCCACTTGGGCTCCTTGGGGCAGACACAACCAATCCTCTGCTCAACACAGTTTATTGCTAAAGACAAAGTGATGCACCAGTTTTCAAAATAATTTGGTTTATAGCGTTCATACGTAACAAAAAACAGGGAAGTATTATAAATCTGATTCTTGTATACATAGGGTACAAGTGTGAAGCCCTCCAATCCTGGGCCCAGGCAAACAAATTCATGAGGAGCAAAAGCCTGTTTAACCCCTTCAGTGTTGCCCTCCAGTCCCACCCCCTTCCCAAATTCTCTCCCTCCCATCCCCAGACCCGGGGCAAACCTGCCCCCGGCCACCAATGGCCCCAGTTCATCTTATCCCTCCCAGCCCCTGCGTGATTGCAATTTTCTGCCGACAGAATCACCCACCAGGCTCTGCCTGCTTCCATCATTAAGATCCCCCTTGGCGAGCCTCCCCACCCACACGCTCTAATACTGTGCCACGGGGAGCTCTGTGCTTAGAGGGATGTGGGCATGTGCCCATGTCACTCCTATCTTCTTCAAGAGAGGGCCAAGAGGTGGCACTAACTCCTCTGCGTGTCAATACTGCAGCTTGGCCAGAGCTTCCTTTCGGCAGTTCAAGGGACAGATGCCACACCCATCTCCAGCCAGCCCCAGGGGCCCTTTACTCAGCTCAGCTGAGGGCAGAATTTCACATTTTGTTTGCCCTGGATAGGCAAGGAAGAAAGTAAAGGCTAGGGGCTGGCAAAAGCTGGTCCAGACCACCCACCCACACACGCGCGCACACACACATAAATACAAAACGGGGAGAGGGGGCAAGCACCAGCACCTCTTCCTAGGCGGTGCAGGTGCTCGTGAGGAAGCTTAAGTCCTAGGCCAGGGACAGGGCAACAGTCCAGCCAGCAGAGCGCACCCACTGGAGACAGTGCAGCCATGGCACTCCAGTGCTGGGCTCTCAGCCGGCAGCTCGGCAGCTGCTGCCAGGTGTCCGAGAACGGCTTGTCCTTTCATTAGAGGAGATGCGACGAGGGTGGGGTGAGAAGATGATAGGTCAGTTATTTCATTCCTTTGCATTTTACAACTTCACTTTAGAGACTTCAGAGTTCCACGTGTCTGCTGTGCCGTGGAGCCTCCACAGAGCTCCTGCCTCAATGGCATGGGATCTCGCGGCTCCTGGAAGCACCTACTCCATGATGGCCCGGTACAGAGCGGGCTCAATGTAATCTTCCCGGTATCTGGAGTTGATAACTCGCTGCCGTTTCTTTTCCTGTTTGACCTCCTTCTCTGTGAAAATCTCATTGAAGCGCATGTCTGAAGCTACTGACTGTGGAAGAATAGGCGAGCCAAATGAGGTCCCTGCGGCCAGCCAGCCACCGCGAGAACAAATATGGGGACACATCCCTGCCTGCCTCCCACCCTCCCAGGCAGGAACAAGGGTGCCCACGAAACACACTCACCAGTCGAGACTTCACTCTCTTGGGAAGCTCTTCGTCCAGCGTGTACACGTCATCTCTCTTAACCACCAGCTGTGAGCCGTCCTCAAACTCCACCTACCAAGGAAACGAAGGCCTTTGGCTAAGATATCCCTGACTCTGTCCCTGGATCCCCAGGCACAGTGGCGATGTCCTGTAGTCACAGGAAGAATTCAGAACACTGAAGGACCGCCATGTTTGAAGCCACAGCTGCCAGCCTGGACATAGGGCAGCCCCTAGCTCTGAAAGGGTTGTTACCAAGCCCTTAGCTCTCCCAAGAGCAAAGACATACCTCTGGCCCAAGAGGCAACACTGAGTTAATCAAGTACCCTCCAGCACCCAGCAAAAACCTGTGGCTACCTGGTACATCTGGATGGGATGGGAGGCCACAAACTTGGCTCCATAGACTTGGCCGTCTGTCCATCGCACTTGAACTACTTCCCCTTCAGCAGGTGGACCCAACTGAAGACAGTCCTGACTCTGAGGGAACAATAAAGGAGAAGCATGAAAGGAGGGCCCACCTGAGCAAAGGGGTGACCACCATCTACCTCAGGGAAGCATGCTCAGCAGCCCATCTGCTACATGAAGGATACTGTGTAACCGTCTGAGTTGTGAGTTGAAGCAGCTGCTCTTTTCATGGAACATAAGCTTTAGACCCTGGGTACTGGCAGACATCTTCGAAATGAAGGAAGTGAGCCTGTCACTTCAAGGAAAACAACCAACAGTATCAAGTGCTGCCAAAGATATAAATCTAAGCTATCAAACAAAAATTAGAAGCAACATGAGCTTGAAGCTTCCCCAAATTTAAAGATTTTTCTGAGACGAGTCATAATACAAGTGAAGGTGATTTTGATCATGTGTAAGAAAATTTCACCTTTGAAAGGCCTGCACGGCCCATCACACCGATGTGTGTGGCGCTACAAAGCCCTGCGTGGGGGAGACCTGCTCAGTGACGGTGGAGCTGTGGACGTTAATGTGACCGGCTACACGAAGCTCACTGACCTGCTTTCAGACTCCACACTGCACCGAAGTTTAAGGAAACCAACACTCGTTGAGTTTTGGTGCAATATTAAAGAACACCATAATTATCTGAAAGGCTATTAAAATACTCCCCCCCTCTCCAATTACATGTCTGTGAGACTTAATTTTCTTCATGTCTTTTGAACCAAAACAATAAATTGCAACAGACTGAAGATGTAACATTAAAGTTATTTGCAAATGGCATTCTTCCAACTCATTTTTGTTCTAAAACGAGGTTATTTTTGCCCTGGCTGGGGGGCTTAAGTTGTTGGAGCATCATCCCATACACCAAAAGGTTGCAGGTTCAATCCCCAGTCAAGGCACATACCTAGGCTGTGGGTTCGATCTCTGCTCAAGGCATGTATGGGAGGCAACCAATCGATGTTTCTCTCCCTCTCTCTCCTCACTCCCTTCCACTCTCTCTAAAATATATCCTCAAGTGAGGATTAAAAATAAATAAAATAGTTTTTCATTAAAAATAGTTTATCTCAAGTCAATCTCAGTTTTAACTTCTAATAGAGTAAATATTGATAGACATAACCCACAAAACACAAGCTCTTCGGGGTCCTCAGTAACTTTTACTTTTAAAAAATGTTTTTAGCCCAGGATGGTGTGACTCAGTGGATTGAGCACCAGCCTGTGAACCAAAAGGTCGCTGCAGGTTCAGTTCCCAGTCGGCACACGCCTGGGTTGCAGGCCAGGTCCCCAGTTGGCACACGAGAGGCAACTATACATTGATGTTTCTCTTCCTCTCTTTCTCCCTCCCTTTCTCTGAAAAGAAATAAAACCTTTAAAAATGTTATTTACTTTTTTAGAAAGGGAAGGAAAAAGAGAGGGAAAGAAGCCTCGATGTGAGAGAAACATCGATTGGTTGCCTCTTGCACATCAGGGACCTGGCCACAACCCAGGCATGTGCCCTGACGAAGAACCAAACTGGCGACCTGTCGGTTTGCAAGACGACATCGAACCCACTGAGCCACACCAGCCAAGGCGTTCTCAGTAACTTTGAGAAGAGAGTCCTGACATCACTGTTCTGTAGGTTAGAGTTAATACCACCTATCTCTCAGAGTTGGTATGACAGGTGACAGAAATACCTAACATAAAGCACTTAGCATACTGCCTAGCATGCTGAAGAGCTTATTAAATCACAGCTACTTTATTGCCACAAATACTGTCATCCTTACTACCTTGTAACTAACTAATGTGCTTTTAGCAGCTAGGTTGCTAATGTGGCATAAACAAGGAAAACACTGATTTGCTAAAAGTGGCCCGATCCCACTACCTTGATGCTCAGTGTAACCCACGAAAGGCAGGGCAGGGGCAGGGGAAACCTGAACAAAGTCCTGAGTGCCGAGCCAGGAAACCCAGGACTCGGTCCAGGCAGGCCTTGTATCTCAAGTGTTGATGAGACAAGCAGAACAGGGGCATCTGTCCAAGCAGTTTTTGCTCAGCCCCGAAGGCTTACGCTATAAAGAACCAAAAGCCGAGACCATATATCTACTAAGAGGGCATGGCAGAAAAGAACTGGATAATTCTCCCAAACTCACACAGCTACTGAGCAATGGAAATGGTACTGCACACGGGCCATCCCAAAGCCTGGGCTCCCTCACCCACATCACAATGCCTTCAGGGTAGTTTAGACCAAAGTACAGGCAGGTTTCAGAAAAATGCAGAAAACGCTGATTCCTGCAGCTTCTAGAGGACACACGGTGCCCTAGCAGCACACCATTTCATTTCCACATAGAGACCAGTACAAAGGCTTTTTGTTCTGGGACCAACTGGTGAAACTGTAGGCCTGGCCAGAAAAAAGGAGGCCCACAGCCAGTCTAAGTCTGCCAGCGAGACCTGGTCACACCCCAGCCCCAAACTGCCCAAGAAGCTCCTTCCAGAAGTTACCACTATGTCCTCAGGATAGAGATTGTCGCTGAAGGAGCCATCATCAAAATTGACTTCATAGAAGGTCTCAGTGGTGAGCCTGACCACCTCGCACTGGTAGAAGCGCCCGTTCTTGTGCTTGCTGATAACCTTCTGGCCCGCAGTGATGCTCTGCAGGGCTCCCTTGGCACGCTGGAAGAAACAGACTTGGGTCACTCCCACAGACAGGTCTGGCAGATGGGGCCCCAAATTAGTTGGTTCCTCCTTACCAGGGAAAGACAGCAAAGGGATGGAACAGTGAAAACGACTGAGGGATGGGAGCTGAAACACGTCTTTCCAGGTACCTACACCCCAGCCAGGATACTGGAAGAAACCAGCACCGTGTTTTCTTGAATAAATGTAGCTCCTTCCTAATTCCCAGTCCTCAGCTGTCCTCATACCACGCTGTCTTACCCCAAATTCCATGGACAGACTCTTGTGACTTCCCTGTTTCTTGCCAGGAACTGACCAGATAGCACCCAGTACCGCACACAACTGAGACACACATCAGACATTTGGCAGGTGGCCTGCGGCCAGGGGCCCCCACACGATGCCCCACAGATCTCAGCACCAGCTCTGCCCTCAAGGCTAGGGCACGAAGACTGAGTTTCCCTGGATGTCCTCGGCTACATGTGACAAATGCTTCTTCATTACAAGGGCCCTGCCATCTCTGGGACCCTCACATCACCCTTCTATTCTGAACGTGCTTTGATAGAAACAGGATCACAGGGCACCTGTGGCCTTGTGTCCGACTGTTGCTCCTCAAGCTGCTCCAGTGCTGCACTCCGGCCACGCGGCCCTCCCTGCTGTTCTGTAAGCAGTGTGTTCCTGCCCCAGGTTTCTGCACTGCTGTTCCCTCTACCTGAAATGCTATCCCCCAGTTATATGCATGCTGGCTCCCTCATATCCCAATGTCAACTTACTAACACTGCTGCTCAAGGCCTCCCCTTTCACTCCCCTTTTCCTGCCTTATCTTTATCCTTTGCTCTTCTCCCCACCTGATACACTATCAACTCACTTGTTTCCTGACATGTAGCAGATGCCCAACAAATATGTGGAAAATGAATTAATGAAAGAAACACTCAACAGAACCATTTCCTCACAGCTTCAGCAGTCTATGGCCACCCATTTAAGGATGTGAAGTGCAACACATTCACTATCTGTTCCATGACAAAACTTCTCGTTCCCTACCAGAGGCAGGACTCAATGCTGCCTCAAGCGTTTCCTCTTCCCGAGTCTCATGCTTACACAGACTATTTTCCCATCTTCCAAAGCCCCTAACCCACCCCCGACCAGCTCCCACACTCAGTAACATAGCTCTATGAAAAAGGTGACTCCAGTCAGCCAACAAGGACTTTTCCACCACCCCAAATGGTACAGGGAAAATGTTAAAAGTGACCCCAAAGCTCTGTCTATGTGTTCCCATTTCAGGCCTCCCATCTCCCTAGGTTAACCGGTCTCTCTGCCTTAAATTCTTATTCCTTCAATCCTTAAATCCACCAGAGTGGCATATCAAAACACTGGCACAGTTCTCATCTCGTGCAGTCCCGGCCTCCACCCCCTGGGGCTGCTTGCCCTGCAGGTGCCCTGCCCGCCAGGGTCCCAGAGCCGTTGTACGTGTTCATTTTTCTGAACCTGTTCTGTTTCTGAAGCCTTGAATGCCCTCATGCACACCATTCCTGCTTATCGTTCAGGACCCACTTCAAGTGCTACCTTCCGTGCAAACCCTTCCATAACTCCTCTAGCTAAAATCATGCGCAGCTTTCTCTGGGCTTCAACGTTTAGGGAAGTGCAAAATCTCCACCGTGTGGTGGTTAATGGCTAGCTGCTGGGAGCTCTCCCCATCAGTTCACGACATTCACAGAGCTTCTGTTACGTCCCTGACACCATGCTAAATAGGGACACTTAGATTAATGAAAAGATGAATCCTCAAGGAGCTGTATCTTGGAGGAGAGGCACATAAGGACAGCGATACCAGAAGGAGCCGACCACTGGCAGCTTGGTGTCGCTGGACTGGGAAGTTGCTGCCAGGCAGGGAGCAGCGACGAACGGGGCTGTCTCTCACTCCCGTGCTCATCAGCACTCTCCATGAAGCATAATGCTTGAGGAAATACTTGCTGACACAACAAACAAACAGCCTGCAGAGAAAATGATCCTGGAAACTGTTAAGAGGATTCCAGAATGGCACTCCCCCTCACCTCCAAGTTAGGAATCCTGTGCCGAAAGCAGGTAATGAAGACGACGAAAGGCCAGTCATCTGGCTGCATCATCACTCCTGCGGCCTGGGCACAGCTCACGTGGAAGGCGGTCGGGCAACGGCCATGGGAACACTGCACGCAGCAACCAGCAGCTCTTTTCCTCCGCTTCTTACAGAAGACACACTTCTACAACACGGGGGGGTAAGCCGGTGACTCCGGGAACCCACGGCACAGTCTCCTCTACCGTTCCCCTGCCCAAACGCAGGGCCAAACCCGCAGGAGTCCACCTCCGCCCCCAACAGGAGAGCACACAAACCCTCTCCGAATCTCCCATCTGATTACAGGCATCCTCATTAATGACTTTTAACCAGAGGGCGAGTGTCACAAACCCTGATGACAACCAAGGGGTGAAGGCTAGCCGCTGGGCCAAGCAGAAGTGGTACGAGACTTGTAAGCCAGGTAGTGATGCAGAGTTTGCGAGCCCATCTCGTCTTCCTTACCAGCTTGAAGCGGGGCAGAGGAATTTTGCTCACATCCACTGGACTTCTTTCTGCAATGTTGACAAACCTCGCTTCCAGAATTGCCACAGCACATGACACGTGGACCCATCTGCCAGAAAGTGAAAGCTGCCTCAGTCCTCTGTGTCTCTAGTGCCCTATGGCCTTCTTCTCTCAGAGGAACCACGGATGGCACTTCCTCCCTTACCCAACATGACCGCTGACCTCCACGAGCAAATCCCCGGGACCCAGGGAGGTATGATCCCCAGGGTCTCCACACTGAGTGTGTGCAAACAGGTCCCCACCACACTGCCCTGGTGTGGCGGGTGTGCACTTCTTAAAGCACTAACTCACTCACAGTCTGTTGCAAAATGAAAAGAGCTAATTGAGTGTGGCAGATTTCAGGGAATGAGAATAAATGAGAGCTCTACCTAGCCCTCTTTTACTTTAGGACCCAAGCGCTTCCTCAAAGTATCTCCAACTGTGCCCCCATCTGCCAATATCCATAGCTCTCCCCTGCAGGCCTCTGCCCAAACTGTTCTTCCCTCGGGCTGAAACCGCCTCTCCTTTCTGCCCCCCTCACCCACAGCAGTCTCGCTCTCTAAGATCTGACCCAGCACCCATGCACTCTTGATAGCCTGTTCAACGAACCCCCTCAGACAATTAGAGTAAGACCTGGACACTCCAGGAGGCTGTGGTGCCCCACGGTGAAAACAACTGAGATGGGGAAAGCAACTAAGGCCAAGCCAGCGGAAACCTCCGACGGGCAGTGTCGGGGCTACATGGAAGCTGTCTGCAGTACTCACAGGCCTATTACATGAGAGTGGGAACAGATCTGTTTTGCATGGCCCTACAAGGCAGAACAAGAATTATTAATTAAAAGCAGGAGCTCAAGCAGAGCCATTTCCACTCCAAATACAGAAGAACCTCAACGGCGCTATCTTGGAATTGTGAGGAACACGATGACCTCAAGTGATGTCAGCAAGTGCCTTTAAAGAAGCGGGAGCAGCACGCCCAGTGGCCATTTACCTGGAACAGCAGGCGGGGGCTGCCTGTGAGGCAGGAGGCCGGACAGGACTTTAGCTGGAAGCAGGATGCTGACCACTGGTTGCCCACCGACCTGTGAGCACCACACCCTGGACAGGCAGCTCTTCCAGGGCAAAAACCTGGCTCACCTTACGTTTCTACCTCAGATCAAGTAAGCCAAGGCCAAGCACAAAGACTCAGCTGGGGGGAAATGAGCTGCCCGACAGCTGAGAAGCCCAGCTCTGGGCTAAGATGCCCAGAAACTTCCGTAGGTTTGATTCAATAGCAAGTAGGCTTGGCTGAGCTCTTCTCAATGTCCTGCTGTCCTCCTCAATGACACTTGCCCTCACTCCAAACAGCAGGTCTAAGCCAGGGAGAGCTTGCCTGCAGAAAAGGCTCACTAGCCCACGGCTGCGGGCGTCTCTGCACCAGCCCCATCTGCAACAAGATAGCTCCCCTCACTTCCAGCCCTTCAAACCCCTGCACCATTACCCCTGACGGGATCCTCGAGAGCCCTTCTTAGCTCCTGCAAAAGGAGGACGTTACTTACATCTCTACCTCAGGGGAAGATAGACTTGGAGAGGACTGGGATTTCTTGGCTCCCCCTGGCATCCCATTTTTAAATTAGTCTTAGAGATGCTATGCCAGCTTCGAGCAATGTGCTTCCCAAAACCTCATCAGTCATTCTGACGATCAGCCGCTGCCCTGAGTGCCTCTGCACGCCGCTTCAGAAGTGCACATTCTGAGACGCTGCTCGGAAAACTCACCTGTCGTCATTTGCTCTCTGCAGGGCTCCTCCTCGTAATGAGCATAAACAGCAGTCCTGCCAAGACGGGAGGGGAGGAACGTGGTTACCACCAAGTCATTAACGACCCATCTGACTTCCTTTGGGCAACTGTGGCCTCCACACAAAAAAGGAGCCAAATGTCACATGGGCTTTGCCCACGCAGCCCCTGTAACCAGGACTCCCCTGGAAGAAGACGAGGAGGCCACTTGGGGCTTAAGTGCACCAAGTGTTCACCTGACTTAACATAATCCTCTTCACTGCTCCTGTAAATAACAACAGCTGGAAGCAAAGACACGAATGACATTCTGCTCAAACCAGAGGCATTGCAAGGCTCAGACAGCTTCCTATGTGGGGTACAGCCAGGTTTGGGGAGAGGTGGTGGAGGGAATGGAGAGAGAGCTACAAGATGGCCCACCTGAGCCCCGTTCTGGTGCTCCAGCCCAGGGGCTAAGCTCCCTAGAGGGGGCCATGGCTCGCCCACAGGAGGCCTCTACTTGGCCCTGACACCACGGAGTAAACACAGCTTCCAGACCCCACTCATGCCCTGCTGTGGGTGGGCAGTAACCACTCTCGGTGTCATGGTGATTGGTTCTGACAGTCCCTTTTCTCTGACCTCACTGTGCACCAGGCCCTCTGCTGACTGCTGGGGATATCAAGTCCACAGGAAACAGTCTAGCCCTGAGTGGACTCCAAGTCTGCAGAGACGAGGGTAGCAGTGTGGACGCACTCACCTCCTCCAGGGCGTTGGCTGAACAACGAGAACACATCCAGTCTTCAGAAGCCTTTGCAGGGGGCACCCCATAGCAACCTAACAAGGACACCAAGATGAGCAAATGAAACCCAGAGGCCACAGTCAGAGCGAAGATTTTCAACTCTTTTCCATGAGATACATCCCAAAGTTACAACCTAACCTTACAGAAATCCCTGAATTCTAGCATCAGGCACCCAGTGTTCAGCCTCAAAAAGTCAGAAACGTAGATTCACTGGTTCAAACACCTAGTGAGTAGTGAGGACTGATGCTGCCCTGGTATGTGAAACAAGAGGACAGCAAGGAGCTGGCTGTGAAATCATGGACCCTGGAGGCTCATGAAACTCAGTCTCAATCACGACCAACTCCCAAGAACACATGAGCTGCCTCTGCAGTGCGGGGCTGGGGAGGCCACGGGGAGGTTGCGGGGGAGGCCAGTGGAGGCGAGGACTTCAGATGAGAAGGCCACGCCCCCAGGACACAACTTGAAGGGGCGGTGACAGGCACTCACTGGCGTGGACCCGGACACTGCACTTCTTGCAGGAGACCAGAAGGCTGGTGCCATCCTCTTCCAGGTACGGGGTGCACAGGTTGATGTCCGTACTGCAGCCCGTCGAGGTGAAGCACATCTCTGGAATTAATGGCTTGGTCCTCTGCTTCTGGGAGGCTAAACCTGCAGCACTTCCACAGCTCTGACTCAGGCCTCCAAACTCAACCTGAGGAGAGAGAGAGAGAGCGCACACCTCAGTGCACACGCCCGTGCTCCCGGCTCTCCGCCTGCTCCGTCAGCAGGAAGCCGGCTCTCTGACTGACTGGCTCCCAGGGGCACAGCCGTTATCCCCGAGCTGCTAATTGAAGTTACCTCTAATGACTCAAATTCAATTTCTCACAGCAGCATCAAACAAAGGCCCCTAGGGGACAGACAGCCGAGGAAAGGGAGTGGAGTAAGAGGCAACTGGGATTTCAATCTTCCCAAACCAAGCGGTAATAAAATGCACTGAGATGTTAGCAAGGCTGCTGCTGTGGGCTGCCTATGTGCTGCTCCGCTCGGAGGCCTCCACGCAGGGAGACCATGCAGAGCAGGTGCTCCCAAGGGGCCAACACTGATCTCCTCATGTGGTCCCAGTCCACAGGTCACCTGAGCTGCAGCCAACCTGCGATTCCCGGCTCGGGGACCCTTCAGGAAGAATGTCATGTCCATGCACTTCTCTTGGCAAACATCCTGGCTACAAAAATCTGCTGGCTCTGCCACTGGATGGCACCATCACCCCCATTCCAAGGATGGCATTAGAAGCGTGTCAACCCTTGGCCTACACCACTCATAAAACTTGGAGGCCCGCTCGGTAGGTCTGCTGGACAGAACAGCCAGGCCTTGCCCTTCCCCTTACAGGCCAGGGCACATACAGTTCTTCAGTTTTTCTTTTTGTCAGTGGAAAGTAGTGAGTTTAGTCCAAAGCATGTTGGTCTGAGGTTCCATCCTTTGGCAAATACGAGCCTGGCGCCCTGCCAGGCTCCGTGGCAGCCATGCCACTTTTAACCACCATCAAAAGACTGATTGTCCAGCCTGGGCAAGTCCCGTCTGAGACCGAGCTGGTCGCCCGGGACATGCTGCTGTGGATCCCTTCCTGGCCTCCGAAAGCTAGGCTCAGAGAGACCCGTGACGGTGAAGCCACCAAATGCCCCAGGAGGGAGAGGGCACAGCTGATCTCAGCCTTTGCACGCTCCGCCCCCCGAGAGCCCTCTGCTCCTGCCCCTCCCAAGTTCCTTTCTACTACCGCTGACACCACTGTGGCGATGGGAAAGAAAGAGAACACTGGAGGACGTGGCCTGTCGTCTAAAATTCAGGCTGTAGTCGAGAAACACGCCATCCTCCAGGCTTCCTGGCCAGGACTGCAAACCACCTAGGAGGAATAAGCACTGACTAGAATGATGACAAAGAGCAGATTCCTTTGCAAACAGTGTGCGTGCCAACAGGCACAGGGTGTCCCTCGAGCCTAAGCCACATCTCCAAGGAAAACGCGCACTGCTGGGTTATCTGCCTGAGAAGCCTGACCTGTACACGTGCATGGGGCAGAGGACACCAAGACAACGTGCCTGTCCCAAGACAACCAGTGACAAATCGTGTACCCACAATTCAACTCTGCTTCCTTCTGACTGCTGGTCCTGGCCAAACAGCGGGGACAGAGCGGGCTCACCTGATGGTAAGTCTGAAAGATCATGCAGACAGAGCAGTGAGGTGCCTGCTGGGCCATGGTCTCATTGAATTCCTTTTCTGCCTCAAAGTTCGGGGGTCGGTTCTGCCACAGCTGGCTCAGGGGCTTGGCCCAGGCCTCTGTCTCCTCTGCCTCCTCCTCAGGGGTCAGCTGTTCAGATGCCTCTAGAGAAGGAAGCGGAGCACGAGTTAGCACACCCATGCCTCTGCCGGGGGAGCAGACGGGCTCTGCCAGGACTCCGGGTCCCAGGTCTGGACTACACCCGAGGTCCTTCAGGTGATAAACGCAAACTGCAGGAGTGATTTCCAATGAACCCTGTCGATACTTGGACGACGTTGTGGGAAGTCCTGCCAGCAGCCCCATCTCTGGCCAGAATGATTCATGGTCTCTACCTTCCTTGCTGCACATGTTCGGCCTGCGCTCCTCGCCCCTCACAGCTGCCAGCACTCAACCCCCCTGGCCCAAGGGCAGCAGCTTGGAACAGCGCCCAGAAGCCACGTTACGTGCTGCCTCCGCTACGTCAGCATGTTGAGTCCTGACCTTTTAAGTTTTCTCTTTTGTTGCACAAAGGGGAACAAGGATAAAAAAACAAGAGGGAAATAGCAAGGCTTAGAAGTCTTCACATCCCTGTCTTCAGTCAGAACTTTCCAGCTCCCTCTGGAAAGGTTAGAGGGATATCTGCCGTTTCTGGACAGGGCTCACCAACCCTCCCGGCTCTGCCTCGGAGGAAGGCGGAGGGTGTCCAAGATGCAGCCCTGTCCCAGCCACGGCACGTAACACCGAGTCTAGACCGGGGCTGGCACATGGGCCAAATCCAGCCCGCTCTGGGAGCCAGATTGCTTTTGCATTTTCAAAGGGTTGAGGGGAAAAAGGAACACGCGACAGAGATGTGTGGCCTACAGACCTGCACTATTCACTATCCGGCCCGCCACTCGCCCCCGGCCCACTAACGGGTCTGCATCTCCTCCTTACTCTGCACAGCAGAGCAGCTGCTTCAGGCCTCAGCACTGCCTGGGAGAGGGAATCGCCTCTGGGCACATCTTCCAATAAGAAAGGGACACACTACTGAATGGAAACAAAAAACTGCTCACCAAAGAAGATGGATTGGTAAAGGCGCACACTTTCCACTTCCCCCAAATCAGGGAGAGAAAACGGGCAGAGCCCACCTGCTCCCAGTAGAAACAAGGCCGAGAAAGTGAGGGAGACCCAGGACTCTAACGTTACAGGGAATGAGGGCAATCATGCAGAGGCAGTGGCAAACATCAAAATAAACTGATGCCCAGAGGGTTTCTCCAGATGCTCCCCCAAGTGAGGGCAGTATGAGAAATTACAATCGGGATGTCCCTCTTTGGCAAGAAAGAAAGGGCCCAAGAACAGAGCACCTGACAGGAGCCCAGCTCTGTGCCAGCCCCACCTGAGGCACCTCATGGGATCACTCCACCCGGACATGGGTGGGCACCAGCAACCCCCGGCTATAACCCTCCAGTGACCTTCTCAGTTCTCCCCAGACAGAGGTGCTTTCCAAGAGTCCCTGTAGACCCATGCGGAGCAGCCCAAGGAACACTCGGGTACACGCCTGCACTAGGGGCCCATCTATTTGTTCACTTCTGGCAGTTCCAGCTCTAAATATAAATAGCTATCCACTCTGCCTTTAAAGTCATGTTGAGTTTAAAGGGACCTGGCAGCTGCCGTGTACTGAGGGGTACCCCTGTGTAGTGAGGGTACCCCTGTGTAGTGAGGCCGATGAGGACAATGAAAACTGACCCCTACAAGCCCCAGCATCAGGCCTAGCCAGGAACCACGGTGCCAACCCAAGGCACAACCATTTCCTGCATCCCGGCCAAAATAAAAGTGACTAAGATGGGACCAAAGAAACAGAGCAGCCTCACAAGCAGGAGGAAAAACAGTGCACTGACATCTGCTCTGTTTACAAAGCCGTGAGTGGCCCAAAGTCACTCCCTCTGTGCACATAGTAAATGAAGAGAGGAAATGTTCACTCCATTATGTGAGAGCTGCAGAAGTCCAAAGTTTACCATTTACATACATAAAACCTCACTGAGCGGTGTAGTTGAGAAGTGCCATTTCACTGAATATGTTCTATACCTCAATCAATTTTATATCAATGTTATACCTCTATTTTAAGTGGGAGGAAGGGCACACTAGGCTAAAAGAGACTAAAAAAAACAAAACTTCAAAGAACTCCCAGATGGGTGACTTCAGTTTGGTTTGTACTGGTTTAAAGAAAAACTATAAAGCATATTTTGGGGATAAGCTAGGAAAATGAACCTGGACTGAAGACTGGACTACGCTATGGAATTTCTGCGTATTTTACCAGGTGTGGTAACAGTAGTGTTTACACAGGAGATAATCCTTCTTAGGAGAACATCAACGTATGTTCAATGAAGTGACTTATGACTACAACTCACTTTCAAATGATACAGCAGATATGTATGCAGTATGCATGCAAACAATGCAAACAAACAGTTCTGGCAAAATGGTAACAGCTGTTGAATACAGGAGGTGAGCACACAGTGTTTTTATTCTCTCAACTTTTCCACATTTGAAATTTTTGCATAAAACCTTTTTTTTAAAAAGTTGGGGGGCTGTGTATTATTACCTCAATTATATTACTGTATATAGACAGACATGTATATAATATAACATCAGACCAGAAATCAGTTAAGATCAACACTTTAAAATGTTCAGTGATCACCTTTACAGGGTAATTTGTTGTCCTCTTTGTAAATTTTCTGCTTTTCTGCAACTTTTGAGGGGGGAAAAGCATGAAGCTAGGCTGCTGCTACACAGAGAACCTGGGCTGGAGGAAGACCAGAGGGCTTCCTAAGACTCTGGCTCAAGGTCTGGTCTCATTCTAACTACAGGATCTCAAGACACTTCCCCACCCAACTCACCAGGATCCTCCTACCAAGGAGAACAGTGCGGATGGGCGCTGACATCAGATCAGAAAGGACGTGTGGGGCTGTGCAGCAGAGGCTGCTGAGGCTCTGGACCTTCCCACCCAGCCAACGGCGCCAGGAAGGACAGGACAGAGTAGGAAAGGGCCTGGCATCAGTCACCGAGAAAGGCTCATTGGCACTAACGTTACTGCGTCTCTGGGTCCCTGGCAGCACAGGAGACCCCGCGGCGCTGATGAGCTCCCGCAGCACACCTCTGGGCTCTCCACAGCCCTGCCTGCTCCCCGTCTCCTTCACAGGCTCCTCTTCCCCCTCCGTCCTCCTGACCCCAGCCTCTGCTCACTGCCCTCTGCCCCTCTCCCTGAGGGGCCGCACTCACGCCAAGAAAGGTACCAAAGACCACCTCTGCACCACTGCAAGTGCACACCCTCCAGACACTGAACAGAGGCTTCCAAACCCAACCACAGCTGGAAAGCAGCGAGGCACTCCGCTCGTGCCTCTCCCGCCCTCACACCCTCAGTTCCACATCCAACCGCCAATCCAGACGACTACCTCCCCCCGCCTGGATCACCGTCTCCTTTCTTTAGATCTGTCTGTCTGTGACTCTGCCCCTCCCGAGGGCACAGGCACATCTTGGTAGCCACACACTCAGCGCCAGGCTGATTCGGTGACAAAATCAGCTACCCTGAAAGATCGGCCTTATGCCTCCCAGAAAAAAAGGGAAGAACCTGCACGCCATTACCCTACGTAAGGAACATTCTAAGACTTTCAACATACAATGAAATCTGATAATAAATTAGGGATCAAATGACACCCTGCCCTCTGTATGGAGTATCTGGAAGAAGAGCTAAGCCAAAGGCCCACCCTCAGCCCTCAGCTTGGCCTCCTGGTGACCTGTCAGATCAAATCCTAGCTCCCCTGGTGAAGCCAGAAGACAACACTCACCATCATCGCTGACGCAATCCTGCAACACAAGCGGGTGGTGGCGGGGGAGCTTGCTTAAGGGCTGGCGCCGGCCCTTGGCCTTCTTATTCTCCTCCAGGGAAAACATGTATTCATCCGCAACCTGGGCAAATTGTAAGAAGAAATCAAATGGGTCTTGCCTCCACTGGGGGACACAGCAAAAGTTAGTCTTACAATGAAAACCAAAGAAAAGAGCAGGCACAGACACACACACACACACACACACACACACACACACACACACACGAAAACCAAACACAGAAAGAAACCACCACCTGTCTTAGAAAAACAAAGGGACAGTGCCTCGCTGCAAACTAGTCTAATCTAGGATTATGTAAACACTTTAGGGCAAAGTCTATGCCTCGTAAGTGTGTGCCCTGGCCTTCTCATAAACAGCCTGAAACAAATGTACCAAAAAGAAACCTACTCTGGCTTTAAGGGTGAGTCAAGTGCCTACCCCTAAATTCCCTGTCTTGAGACTATGTCTGAGAGCCCTAGAGAAACCCAGGGGCCCCTCTCCTTGGACCAGAAGACCAGCGGCACCTGCTATCACATGCCAGGCCGCTGGGTCATCTAGGACTGAAAGGCTGGGGGGCATTCAAAGGGGCGAGGAGCAGCTGACCCAGCAAAGGTCAACAGGCCTACTTCCCCTTATGCTCTGTTGAGACCTCAGCTCCAGCTCCCACCCCTTGTTCCTCTCCTCCAGGGGAGAACATCAGCCAGGACAGAGGGCACATCTCAAACTCTGGCCTGGCTGCAAAGGGAAAGGCTGGTTTAAGCCTGCGTTTACATAAAGTCAGAGCAAATGCAGTGAGGTTAAATAAGCACAGGATTGAGTCAGTAATACCACATTTTGAGAGTTTCCTTCTACTCCACACATTTAAAAACCTTTGTTATGCTAACATTAGGAGACACCCGGGGTTAAGCAGCACCCATTAAGCCAGGAAATGAGGCCTGGAAGAGGGCCACTTTGCAACCGTGAGGAACACCACGCCCTCAAGTGCTGCTGCGGGGAGGAGACAGCACTTCAGTGCTGCTGCGCGGTGCACCGGGCCTAGGGACCCCCCTGCAACATCACAGAACCCCAGAACTTAAGGACCACACTTGGAAGGTCAAGGAAAAAACAAATTCTGAGCAGGCCACATCCCCACAGAGCACAGCCTGCTGCGCTCCCAAACATAAATTTAGCCAACAAGTTTCAGCGTCCACTTGCCCGTTCACCTGACACACACTTGCAGAGATGGCTGAGCACAAAGGCCTGCCCGGGAAAGGCAGCAGGTGTAGAGCACTGATCTACTAGGGCGTGCGTGCGTGATCCCGCTCACAGGGGTGAGAGATGTGACTCAGTGAGCAGGAATGTGCTGGGAGAGCGAGGATGTCAGGAACCTCTTGTTACTCTAGTCCTCAAAGACTCGGATGATCACAGACTTGTAATCAGATCTGAACCAAACTGACTGGTGCCCGTGGTGTCCAAATATACATACATCTAAAAGCCCCTTGAGAGCCCCCACCAGAGTAAACAGGCAGGACTCTGCCTCCATTCCAACCAGAACAGCCTTGCTTTGATTTATATTTTTTAATGATTATGACTTTATTTAAACAAATGGTTCTTTGGCTAAAACAAACTGGGAAACCCATACTCACCGAATTTGATAGTGCTGTATAAAAATAAAAAATTCAGGGACATGTACCCAAATATATGCATACTTACTTAATGGATTACATATACTGAGGTACTTATTCACATTTTAAAACAAAAATAGACTGTAAGAGAATTTTTAAGTTCCATTATTTTATTTCTGCATCCCAGTAATGTTCTTGTATTTCCCACTTTCAAGAACACCTAGATGACAGGCCTACACCTAGCAGTGGCAGAGACTAGAGGTAAAGGGATGAGGATCAAGGAGCCAGAGGTAGTGGTTTGTACCGTGAGTCACCAAGGGAGAGATTAAGAGAACTCTTGTAGATGAAGAGAGAGCAGTAACAAGCCAAGTTAAACATGGTTCACATACGTGCCCATCTGTGGGTCCTTCATTTGCCCCAGAGGCTTAATAAATTCAGAACAGGGCATTCGGAGAAGAGGTCAGAGGAAGAACTACAGGTCTGGGTCTACTTCGCATGAGGTTCAGAATTAGAGTCACGGGGGGTGGATAAGATTATCAATGGAAGGCAAATTGAGTGAGACCAAGCCTTTCAGGTCCGAAGGCAGGAGAGGAAAAAAGGAGATCTGGAAGAAGATGGGTTAGACGTGTACAAGAAAGTGGGAGGGAAAGGCTTCCACGAGGGAAAATCCACAGGGACTAAGAACACAGAACTGCTGAGCAGGAAGTGGGACTTGCCAGGACTTTTTCTGAGTGAATTCCAGCAGACAGAGTAAGGAACTAAGGAGCAAATTCATCGTAGAGGCTATTTTTGAAAAGATGTAGGGAAAGAGTGAGATCCTGGCTTGAGAAGGAAATTTCCTCCGATCGTATTTTTGGACAGGGCTATGTGAGCATGGTTTCACAGGCAGAGGGGAAAGAAGCTGGTAAGAGAAATTCGGACCTGTGGTAAACAGAACAGTCCCCCAAGAGGGTCAGGCCTAATCCCTGTGATGTTAACATGACAAAGGATTGTCAAAGTCGCTAATTAGAGACTGAAAGAAGCGAGATAATCCTGGATTATCCTGACAGCCTGCACCTGGCCAACAATGGAAGAGTCAGTGTCAAAGTGCCAGGGGACTGGCCGGAAGGTGCAGCCTCTGAGGATGGAGGAGGGCGACGGGCCAGGGAAAGTGGGCTGCCTGCAGAAGCTGGGAAAGGCCAGGACGCGGCTCTCCGCCCAGCGCCCCCAGGAAGGACCCTGTGGATGCCTGGACTTGAGTAGTGAGGACCATTTCAGACATCTGAACTAACAACTAGAAGATGATAAACTTGTGTTGTTTTAAAACTTTAGGTTTGTGGTTAAGCAGCAACAGAATAAATATGTAGTAGGTGGTGACAGATCACTTTCGAGGTCCAAGTACTGGAGACAGCAGGGGGGTCAAGACCAAGAATCCCAGGGAGCTGCTTTGGGGAAGGAGGAAGATGCCTTTACTCACATCTGTGCATTCAGGGTGCTTCCTATACAACCAGCACGCAATGCAGAGAGAGGTGAGAGGTCATCCCTAACCTCGAGGGACTTATGACCCAGCCAGAGGGAGACTTGGCGCAGGAATCCAAAGCCCTTCCCACTACAATCACGCTGCCTCTGACTAAAGCGTCAAGCGTATTCAAATATTTCAAGATCTTCCCACCTTTTCTCATCCTCTGGCTCAATGCTCCTCCTGCTAAAGGCCATTCACACAGTTCCTCAGTGTTGCCTCTCCCTGCAGTGTGCGCCAGTTTCTAAATTCCCTCCGTATGTAGCAGAAACCCCAGTCCAACCAACTAGCTGTGGGGGAGCTCAGGCAAGCAGCGTCCCACTAGGGTAACGGGAGGCAGGGAGTGCTGCCCCCCAGGGCTCTTTGTGAGGATGGAGTGGGAGAGCGTGGCAGCTGGAGCTCAGACGCCCCAGTTCTCTGTGCCTCCTCTCACAGCACCCAGGGTCGAAGACAATGTTCCTGATGGGGCTTGTTCTGTATGGAGAAGAACAGGTGTCCTCCCCTTGTTTTGGGAATTCACTTTTTCGAAGCAACTCAAATTAACAAGAACTTCTGCAGCCAACACAGTGCTGTGGCTCAGTGTGCACTTAAATGAAAACTCCAAGGCTTTGGTGCTTCAGCAGTCAGTCAACCAAGGCGCTTTTACCAGGGCCCTTTACATAAGACAGTGGCACAGAAGCTGCATACCAAGAGGCCCAAATTACACCTTGGGGGATGGTTAAAGTGGAGTAGGGGGGCACGCACAAGGGTGCTCTTAGAAATCCAGCTGTTTAAATATAGATACAATGCTATCAGACCTCTTCAGAGACAGGCAAAGTGGTTCGTTCTGCTTCTGCCTCCCCACCCTCTTTGACTGTCAGTCCCCTGGTCCACCCTGTCGATTTATCCTGATGTCAGCTTCTCACTAAAGCTAAACTTCCATTCCTTCCAGGCTTACAGAAGGCTCGTGGGCCAAACCCTGGGGACCAGCTGGTGGCTCAAGGAGCAAGGCTGAATGGGTGGCACAGGTCCTGGCTCCTACAAGCTTATTTTCCTCACCAACCTATGATACTTGTGCTGAGACCGAGACAGAGAATCAAAAAAGAAGCCAAGTATTATAGGGATTCAAAAGAGGAAAAAAAGGGAAACAGATGGGAAGCAATGAAAGGTTTCTAAGAGTGGTGGCTTTAGCAAAGGGCTGGGCTACAGTTAGGTGCCTGAGGGTTCCAGGAGACCCCCGTGGAGACAACTCCCTGCCTCCTCCCACTGTGACACCATCCACAGCCACTCAACAGTGTGAATGCAGCTAAAGCCACCGAACTACACGTTGAAAAATGGTTAAAATGGGCCCTGGCTGGCGTAGCTCAGTGGATTGAGCACGGGCTACGAACCAAAGTATGGTTCGGTTCCCAGTCAGGGTACATGCCTGGGTTGCAGGCCATGACCCTCAGCAACCTCACATTGATGTTTCTCTCTCTCTCTCCCTCCCCTCTCTAAAAATAAACAAATAAAATCTTTTAAAAAATGGTTAAAACAGCAGACTATGTCCTATCACAATTAAAAACAAATGAACCCAACCTCAGCCATCCCATCCTGTCTCCACCTAGGCTGGAGCCCCCACTCCCTCCCTGCTGCTCAGACCTCCAGGATCCAGTCCCTCCCCAACCCTGCTCCAGGTCCTCCCCTTAACGAGAGGCAAGCTGGGCCACAGCTTCCATTGTCCTCAATCTCTCCCCTCCCCTGGCTCTGGACACACTCCTAGTTACCTCCCCTGGCTGTCCAGAACCTCTGGCTGCTCTTCTCCTTCCTGGGCTCCCTACCTCCACCCTCACTGTGAAAACTGTTTCTCCCGCTTCACACATGAGCTCTCCCGTGCCCACTGATAACCACCTGGTGACTCCCCAACCTAACCTCCTGAGCTTCAGATCTGCGTATACACATCTCCACAGCCATATTTCACAAGCAGGTCACACTCAACATGCCCCAGACTGAACTCACCTCCTGAGCCACACCGATGTACCCCTGCGCTTTCTAGTATAACCTCCATCTTCCACTGATGCACCCCACCCCCCCACCCAGTAACTCAAGCCAGAGCCCCAAATCCACCCCTGGGTGGTCCTCTCACTCAGTCCACCACCACCGGACCCCTCCCCGCCCCCACAGCTCAGGCCCCTCAACCCAGCTTTCAGACTAAGTAAGGAGCAGGTTCCACACTGGCTTCCCTACTGCAAATCTTTTTTCCTCCTTCCCTGAAGCCAAAGTATTTGGCTACAAAAATAGCATGTTAATCACACAAAAAAATTCAACTTATAAATGTAGGAAGTAAAAATCACCCATAATTCCACCTTCAAGAGCCTCGGCTGTTTCTAATCTTGCCTCCTTCCTCCCTTCAAAAAACCTTTACACTGCTTCCAAAATGATCCTCCAAAACACCAGTAAAGAGATGAAAAGACCCTTCACTGGACAATCTAAAGAACAACTGGCATGGTTTCTTGCATAAATCAATTGTGGGGGAAAAAGAGGGGAACGCTGCCCTGGATCAAGGTAGACGTAAGGGACATAATAAAGTGTGAAACTACATTAAACCTTGACTCAAACAAACCCACCACAGAATAAACTTCTAAACAATTGAGAAAATCTGATTATGAAATGGGTATTAGATGGTGCTAAAGAATTTTTTTTAATTTTGTTAGGAGTAACATTAGCAAAGTGATTAAGAAAATACCCATTTTTTTGGAGGTACACACTAAAGGAGGGGAAAAATGACATGATATCTCGATTTGCTCTAAAATGCTTCAGCAAATAAAAAAACAGATGAAGCAAATGTGGCGAGATACTGACAACTGGCAGATCTAGGAAATGAGAATTTGTGAGTTCACTGTATTATTCTGTACACATCTCTGTGCATTTAAAAAACGACTCTTCAATCTCCAACACCACACGGCAGGCAACCTCCCACTGCTCCCCAACCACTACTGCACAGTCAGACGGCTTCACAAAGCAGAGCCCCATGATCCGGGTCCTTACTCCCTCCACCAACACCTCTGGGGGCCTCCTCCCAGTCCACATTCCTGAGGCAAACGGAACCATGGCAGACACCCCCCCAAACATGCTCTGACCTTGGCACGAGCTGCCACCACCACCACCACGAAGAACCCTCCCCTCTCCCACCTGCATGCTCCCGCCACCCTCAGGCCTAGTGAAGATGCTCCCTTCTCTGCAGTCTCCCTGAACGTCTCACCCACCCCCAGGGTAAGTAACTCTCCCACCTGTGCTGTAACCTGGACCACCAAGTACCAGATTATTTGCTCACATCTGCCTAGTCATCTAGACTGGAAGCTCCTTGAAGGCACAGTCCTAGCTCAGAGTGAGCAGGCTGTAAGCCATGACAGCATGACCAAAGAGGCAGGCAGCCAAGATATTTTTAGAGAATTTGAAGTACCGTATTTTGCTGTGTATAATGCTCACTTTTTGGCCCAAATTTTTTAGGGAAAAATAAGGATGCACATTATACATGCCTACCACTAATTCTCTATCTGTAAAAATGTTTTCAATTCTTTTATTAATGTTTATGCATTAAAAGTGTAACTCTATAAAAAGCAATGATGATATCCACATGCAAAATAATACCCTGGAATATGGTTAATTAGTTTTGTTTCTAAATATAAAATAAAAAATAATTGAATTAGGAAATTAAAATGAAAGATTTTTTCCCCGAAAGTCTGGGCCAAAATCATGGGTGTGCATTATACACGGCAAAATACGGTAGTTCAAAGATGCCAGCATATCAACTGGGGCAGAGGAAACGATGGTTGGTGTGGAGTCGAGAAGCCCATCACTATCACACGAGAGCTAAGAGGTCCCTACAGAAATAAAAGGAGCCCTGGCTGGTGTGGTTCAATGGACTGAGCACTGGCCTACAAAACCAAAAGGCCGCCAGTTCAATTCCCAGTCAGGGCACTTGCTTGGGTTGTGGCCAGGTCCCTGGTCGGAGGCATGTGAGATGTAACCGATCAATGTTTCTCTATCTCCCTTCCCCTGTCTCTAAAAGCAATTAAATAAAATCTTTTTTAAAAAGTTTTTTTTTTTTTACAAAAGGAGCCAGGAAAGCACTCAGTGGTTCTGGAGCAGGGGTTCAATGAGAGGCATGCTCGAGAACCACCTCCTCCTGCAGCCGATTTCCCCATGCAGGGATTCCTGGCTTCTCTCCCTGGCCCTGGGGTGTCCGTGAGCTTCACTTAGCAGGGATCTGCCTTTGCAGGAGTGCCTTCCCGTCTGCGTCCACAACACATGGAAGCCAAGCGGGAAACACTGTACTGCAACGAGAGGGACCCACGTCCTGCCGGAGTGCCTGTGACCAAGTAGACAATCTGCCTCACCGAAGGGGAATGAGCAGCAGGACCATTTGGCCACAGGTTAAAATCAACCTTCTTCAGCCCTGGCTCACGTAGCTCAGTGGATTGAGCGTGGGCTGTAAACCAAAGTGTCGCAGGTTTGATTCCCAGCCAGGGTACATGCCTGGGTTGCAGGCCATAACCCCCAGCAACCGCACACTGATGTTTCTCTCTCTCTATCTCCTTCCCTTCCCTCTCTAAAAATAAGTAAATAAAATCTTAAAAAAAAAAAATCACTATAAAAAAAAACCAACCTTCTTCAATCATTTTAACTGGTAATAAAATGATGCTCTGAGCTCCTTATGCCTCATGTTAATTAAGCAGTAGTACACAGTCTAAACAATGCATGTGAAACTTTTAGCATATAGTAAGCCCTTGCTATTGTAAGCTGCTTTTGTGGCAACTGGAGGCAAGAAAGTCAAGACGACACTGCAAGAAGAGGAACAGCGTGCCCTACAGTGTGACAGCGGGGCGAACGAGAGAGAGCATGGAGCTTTGTGAAGGAAGAATGGCTCGGACATGGCACAGGGAGTGTCAGGGACTCCAGTTTCCAAGCTGAAAAAAAGCCCTTGCTTGTGGGAGCTGTCACACACAGAAGAGAGCACCGCGGTAAGGGGCATTAAGGGGCAGACATGGTGGCATCAGCTCGTGAGCCTGCATCCACCTCGAGAGGGAGGGAGGGTGGGACACCTGGGAAAAGGTGGTCTACAGACACTGGACCCTGAGATTCAGAGCGGGCAGGAGAAAATCCCATGGATATTAAAGACAAGGGGACACACACAGTGAGAACACACGAAGGGCTTGTGGTGGTATTCCAGATGAATATGCTTTAGGAATGTTCATAATAACAACTTTTGAAAGATAAATTTTTCAAAAAAGGTGAGGGGATGGGAAGTAAAGGAGACCTTCTGTAGTGACTTCTACTGTCCACCCACCTCCACCCAAGCCTGCAACTTGGCCCACAGCAGCTGTGAGGCTGGGGAGGAAGAGCAGGTCACTTAAGCAGATGAGTCCAGCTGCATCCAACAAAGCTCTGCAATGACACACTCAGACCCACCAACACAGCAGAAAACAAAGCTTTTGGTGACAGTTTTCAAGGAGGAAGCCTCAAAAAACATTGTCACATTCAAAGTTCTGGGAATTCATCCTGGTCTCCAAAAGGATACTCCTCATCACACTGTAATTCTGGGAGATGAAGAATCATTTAGGGGTGGGGGAGAAGTGGCAGTTCAATTCCAATGAGAGTCTATAGGGAAGACATGATTTATATGGAAAAACCCTTGAATTTTAGAGCAGGAAAGGCCATCTCACCTCCAGCCCTGAAATATGGGGGCTGCAACCACTGCCACTCCTAACCCTTGTGTGTCTCTGAGGCAGGGAGGGTCAGAGAACAAGCCACCACTGTCCCCGAGACTGCAATGCAATCCTTTGCAACAGTCACAGAAATAAGAGAAAGGAACTTGTTTCTGGAAGTGGCCAATGCCACCTGGCCTTCTGCTCGACACAACGATGGCAGACTGGAGGTCCACCCAAAAGGCCTCTCCCGCCACCTGGGACACCGCAGCAACCCCGCCCCCAGGAACCCCCTACAAGCAGCCCGTACCTCCGCCAGCTCCCGCTCGCTGATGCTTCTGGCGGCGCTCCCTTTCTTCCGCGTGCATGGCTCTCCCCCAGCGACCCTGCCGTCCCCTCTGGCATAGCTGTGCACAGTGAAAACTCCTGTCTGCCCTTGGGTCTGGCAGGACAGAGGCTCGCTGGTTTCCGAATCCGAAGAAACAGAATCCTGGGATGAACTGGAGCCCAGGCTAGAGGATGATTTCTTTTTAGAATCTGAGAAGACAAGGCGTCCCCCCCCTAGAGAGGTGGGATTCACAGAAAGATCCAAGGCAGCTGATTCTTGTTCCTCTTCATCCTCCTCCTCCTCCTCCTCTTCATCCTCCTCTTCCAGTTTGACGTTTTTAAGCTCTTCAAATTTGACTTCAGTGGAGTCAGGATAATCTGAAATGCAGACACACATTGGACAGCGCTATCTTTCCCCCGCACACCTGAACTCCGTGAAAGGCAGAGTGGCAAAGCACGAAGAACATGGGCAGTAAGTGAGGCCTGTCCTTGATTTCTGGCTCTGTCCCCTACAGGGTCCCTGTGTGATGAGGGGCTCAAGGCTTATCCTCTCTGGGACTCCACTTTTGTCTTCTGTGTGTAAGAAGGAGCACAGGCTGGCACACAACTGACACACAGTGACAGCTGCAAGTTCCCCAGAGTCTCCTGCAGGAAACGAAGGCCGGAGGCTCAGGAGAGAGGGACCCAGCACACATCCCTAGGCTAGAAAATCTGACCAGTAGGCAGCCCAGCCCCGCGATCAGCAGAGGTCCAGACAAGTACTGTCACTGCAGGGATTCTTCAAGCCCGATGGGGACTGATGCATGCCCCTCCCCAACAAACCTCCCCTCAACCACCACCTGGGCAGCTGCTCTAGAGAACACTTTGACCACACTGCCCCCTAAACCACAAATGGCTTCTCGAGGCACCGAGTAAGCAAACCTAAGAAGGCAGGCAGCGCCTACATCGTCTTACCTCTATTTTCTAGCCTCATCTCCTGGTAACACACCTGTCTTCCACCCTTCTGCCCCCATACTGAAATTGCAGGAAATCACTACCAGCTCCCTAAATATCTGGTGTCTTTTCCCATCTCCATGCCTTTGCCCCTGCTACTCCTCTTGGCGATGCCCTTTCTACATCCCCCGCTCTGTCTGCCCACAGATTCCTACTGCTCTTGTACGAGCTGGTCCACTGCCACTCCAGAACCTTCAGTGTTCCCTGGCCCCTCACCAGGCAAAGGGAGGGGGCCTTGCCCTGGGTGCTCCTCACCAGAGTGCCCCTCACACTCAGACCTGTCTCTCCACTGCTGCTGGTTTTCACCCTGCACTGAAGATGGCATCGGACACAGGACAGAACACAGAACACCATTAGGGCCGAGGGAAAAGACGCCACAGCCAACTGACCTGGGAAGGCGAGACCATCCTCGACTTGCCGCACCGAGCTGTGGGTGGGCCGCACAGGAGCAAGGGCAGCCTGGCACTCCGTCAGGTCGTACTGTCCGGGGCTGAGCTCCTCCTTGGGGAAGAGCTCACTCTGACTGACCTCCTGTGGTATTTCAAGGCAAACTCGGTGCCTCTTTGTCCCTATTCGGTGCTTGGCTAGGCTGCGAGGAGGAGAGGAAGCTTTTTAAGAGCCCATACGTACATCCGCTCACACAAACATATCCACACACAACCCGAGGGGAGTCGCCAGACAGAGCCTGTCGGGCCTGGCTCACAGCTCTGTGTCACCTCTTATTTGTGGGACCTGAGACAAGGGACTTCGCCTCTGAGCCTCTTCCATCAAATGGAAAACAGGGGCATCACCACCTACTTCACAGACTTGATGTGAGGCCCACAGGACCTCAGAAAGCACCTGGCATAAAGCAGGTACCCCATAAATGTCTCTTTTCTTCCCCGCGGGGCCTGGGATAAATGGTCCCTACAGCACAGATCCCCCGGCTCAGACCCTGACGAGGCCGGCCAGCGTCAGTACTCATATCCTTGCTCTTGTGAGTCTCATTCCCACTACCATTCTCCTTTTCATTTAAAATCATGGAATGTTTCACAAACGTGCACGCCATCCTTGCGCAGGGACCATGCTAATTTGGGTACTGTTCCAATTTTATTCTGTGTGCTGCTGAAGTGAGCACTACACTCTCCTTTGTTTTTAAAAAACTCTCACAGCCCTAGCTGGTGTGGCTCAGTTGGATGGAGCATCATCCCACAGGCCAAAAGGTCACTGGTTCGATTCCGGGTCAGGGCACATACCGAGGTTGCGGGTTTGATCCCTGGTAGGGGTGCATATGAGAAGACAACCAATCAATGCTTCTCTGTCTCGCGCCCCCCTCCCCCACCCTTCTTCTCTCTCTAAAAGCAATAAAAAAATGTCCTTGGGTGAGGATGAAAAAAATAAAATAAATTTAAGAAAAACTCTCACACGATGACAAAATGTGACTTTTCTGGCCCTGAGGGAGCCGTGCCCTGGGCGGGTGACCCCCGCACTCCAGCACCCACAGGCTCGCCAACGGGTGCTATCATTCCTGGGTGACGGCCACGAGAGGGTCTCTACGCCCTCACTCTGAGGGTTCTGGACCCTTTCCCCAGAATAAAGTTCCCTCGGCTGTGATGCATACACCCCACTCGGACACAGCCTCTCAGCCGGTTACGGGAGCTGCCCACACACCCCCTCCTCCAAATGCGGGGCCCCAGGGCTGCAGGTTACCTTCTCTTCAGGTCGCCCTCCTCTCCGTCCTCAACCCCTTCCATGTCCTCCGGGCACTCCTCCTCACTCGTTGCTCTTGGGGGCAGTTCACTCTCCTTAAGAAACTCGGCGGCTTCTGGCGTGGGCAGGGTGTGGTCGATAACTGTGCTGTCCTTCCCAGCTTTCCAGAGTTTGTACCTTTCTGGCTGGAACTTCCTCACGAACACGTCCATGGAGATCTTCACCATGTCCTTCCGACAGGAGCACTGTCACAAGTAACCAGAAGGACTCCAGGTGAGCACACTCGAACTGCTTCCGCCCGACCCCCAGAGCCATCTCCTCCCTTGTGGTGGAAAGTGTACAAGACAGTTGGAAGCCAAACTGTTTAGGTTCACAGGCTGGAGGCGTGCTGTCCTTGCAGAGCCTTCAGACATGGAGGGAAGCAGGGAAAAAAGGGCCGAGAATGCATGGTGCTGGGCAAGTCCCCCAGGCACCAACAGGACACGCAGAGTAACCCTTAGAGACGATGAAGCTGTGCACTCGGACCTGGGATGGTCAACATCCGCCTTCCCTGGTACCTATCCAAGCCTGCATATCATGCAAACCGGTCTGCTCCTGACTACAGGTCCAGCCCTGCTGCTTCCCTGAAGTAAAAGTGAACCCCTAAGAATTTCTCAACAGAGAAATCCCAGAGTGGCTAAAGCAAGAAATAGCAGTGTGTGGGGTGTGGTTTTAATGCCCCATGGACTTAAGCATGAAAACCTCACTTTATACATTCTAAATATGAACAAATTTTCAATGAACACGAGATGCTGGGCACTTCTATACATTCCTGGCCACTTGGCTTCTGAATTCCAGAAGCTCAAAGAAAAGCTCTGATCACCAGCCAGTGCACCTAACAAGACCCAGACTTCTGGAGGCATGAGGGGACGGAGAGGAGCAAGCAGACTCACCAGCACTGCCTGTTTGCCATACTCGATCCACCGGCGGGTGGCGAAGTTGGTGGACTCCGCACAGTTGAAGCCGTGGTTGAAGCCAGCATGGTAGCCGTAAGGGAAAGTGATCATGAACTCTCCAGCTTCCTGAGTCACCTGAACAAGAGCAGACTTGAAGCAGCTGCATCAAACCGCAGAAGCCCACGGAACTGGAATCTGAGCTTCAGCTCTGCCTCAACTTAGCTGAATAACACCAGGGGCAAGTCATAAAATCACTGGGGTCTTGGTGTCTTCTACAAAACGCAAAGCCCTAACAGAGCAGATGCCATGGCTGTAATAACCATTTGCCCAAGGAGCACTGTTCGGGGGGACTTGACTCTCCTCTGGGACCACCAGGAAAGCACAGTGGCCCCACCTTCAATCCCCTGAGATCAAAGTGTTGTGGTTAGCTTTGGCCCACACCTGGCAGAGTAATGAATTAGAATAAAGCTCCTCTGGGAAACACACAGCAGAAAGGACTTCCCATGTGAGACTGAGGACTTCCATATGTACAATCAGCTCACCTTGTCAAAGGGAATTCCATACTTCTTCAGCATTAAGGGGGAAATCAAGGTCATCTTATGGCGGAGAAAAGCTTCACAGCTTTGAGCGCTTCCTGGGAAAAAGCCTGTTTAATTGAAACAGGCACCAGTTAACACTGCTCCACACCAGCTCTGTAACCCAGCGTCACTCTACACCTGGGCACCTCATCTGGGTGGTCACAAGGATAACCACCAAGGTGAGCTCTGTGAATCCTCCTAGCTTCAGGGCAAGTCTGAGGTTCTGCAGCGAGCCTCTGTGCCCTCCCAGGCAGGCTGTTACCTGGGTAATCAATCCAGTTGGGTCTGGGGAATGGAGACGACCCAAGCAGCCTCTTCGCCTATCAAGAGCTTTGAAACTACTTAGCACTGGTCTCCATTCACCTGGAGCCTCAGCCTCTTGTTAGTAACCATCTACCACAGAACAGACTGCCCGAGCTCTCTTGAAATGGGCTCTCTAGAGGAATAAATCTATCGAAATTTACTTAAAAGAATCAAAGCACAAAATAATTCAATTTTCACTTTAACATCTGGGTTTCTGGAGAAAGAATCAAACCCACTATGACTGGTATACTATCTCTGGTCAAACCTGTGCTCAGTAAGACTGAGGCAAAGACAGTGTAAGAAGGAATTACTAAGTCCTGTCTTAGGATAAAGTCGGGAAACGCTCTGATTTTAGTTGTTCGGCTAGAATAACCCATCTGGCAGTCTCGATTACCCCCACTTGCAGGCCTGAGAAAGGACATATGAGAATCTGACCACGGAGAATGACCACTTTAGAGCAATGAACCCAGCTCATCGGAGGGTCTGCCCGGCTATGGAGGAGACACAGTACCTTTGGCAAGGCGCTCCAACCGCTTCCCGTGCTCCGGCGGAACCGAGTACCTGCAATCACACGAGAGCATTGGACACCGAGCAGAGGACAGTACGGGAGCTAAGGGGCTCGCTCTCACTCTCAGAACACCTCATGGTACTGAGATTTTTCACCTTCCCAACTACAAAAATGAGAAAAGAATCTGGAGAGATGAAATATCAGATGGTTTGAGAGTGGGGAGCCCACACAGAAATGCAAGTGAATTTATTTCTCTTATATTCATCCATTAACAAGACATGTGCTGAACACGTACCACCAGCCCAGACTCGGGTACACACTCAACGCTGCCCTCCTTCGTGACGTCATTAATCAAATGAAATGGAAGAAGGACGGCATTAGAGTGCTCATGGCAGAGCCGGACAGACCTGACTGGGAGAGGGCAAGGGAGGGACAGAAAACAAGGGTGATGTGCATCAGACACTCTCGGAGACCCGACCCCTGTCTGCTGCTGAACCCGCCTCCCGTTCCTCTCCAGCTGCACTGATCAGCAGTAATGACTCCTCCACCCGCGTTCTCTTGACATCATAGACACTGCTCTTCGTAAAAAGACCGAAAAACCATGTAAGACTTTTCAAAACTTTTGCAAAGCTAAAACTTTATATTCTGAAGCTCACAGGAAGTCTGTTTTCACCTTTATATCAAGTCGGAAGTTTACTCCACAACAAAAACTTCCCATCCCAAATAACTTCATTATGAGACAGCAGACAAGGGTCGAGGGAATGTCTGGACTCTGCTCGCCTCACACAGAAAGCTCTGGAGGCCCCACTCAGATGACCTAAGGAGTGCATCATGTCATAACCACAGGAGTGCATCATGTCATAACCACAGACTCAGTCCTCGACACAAGGGCAAATCCAGTTCCAGGGAACTCTGGAATAAATGTGATGAAGACACAAAAGCAACATTTGCAGATTCTAGAAGTCAGGCCAACTAAGGAAGGTAATGAAACAGTACTTAGGGGGTAATCACAGGCTCAAAAAATTTTTGCCCCAAGACTGGAAACTGGAAAGTGTCTGAAAGAAGAAAGGAAAACCCTGGGAAAGGACGTGGCTCAAGATGCTGGAAAAAAAAAAGGAAGATGCACACAGTTTCTCTGACGCCCCGTGACCCGGCCCGTGCTGCTCCCTCTGGCCTCTTCACTCACTCCCGTCCTCGTACACAGCCCCCAGACAACGGCGAACCTCCTCTAGACCACTGACGACAACAGGCTCTCTCTGCCCAGACCCTTGCGTGTATTTTCCAGCCACTCAGACACACTTCCCTCAGCTTCTCTCTCCTGAACCCATCATCACCCCACTCAGAACCTTTTCCATGCTCGTGTGGTCTCAGTGTAACTGTCACCTCGTCCAGCACCGCCCATGCTAATCCCCACCCCTCGTGTCCCCTTTCCATGTGGACCTGCAGCACCCACCGTCTCCCATCAGGGCTTTCCTCACACCGTTCTTTTCTCACGCTCTGCATCTCCTGTCTGGGCGAGGGCAGGTCCCCCATCCATCTTATGAACCGCTGTTGAGTTCAGCACCCTCACCGAATGCTGAGACTGAGTGATGGATCAGCACGGGGGAGAAGGGAGAACAAATCTGTCTCCCCAAGTAGGCTGAGAACACCCTGGAGGGCAGGAAGCATGTGCCGAGTAACCTTGTGTCCCCTCTTGTATTAAGCACACACTGCTGCTCACCGAATATTTTTTCCATGAGGACAAGGAGGCTTTCTATCAGCTGAAGGAGCAACTCCAGTCTCGGAAGTCAGCCTCTAACAATGCCTCAGGCGTGCTCAGAAAAAGAAATTAGAAAGCAGTGGGATAGCCTGGAATAGCCTCTGCAGCTCTCGGTCCCTCAGCCAACTTAATGCTTCCATATGCTGGTTTTAAGTGCCCTGCCTTCTAAAGCCAGCTACGCAAAAGGCAGCCTGAGAGCTGGAGCTCCACTAGTAGCGCATCACTTCCATGTCTGTCTACTATGTAAAATGCCAATCCAACCCCGGGCCTACAGAACCAGAGTCTGCATGTTAACAAGATCTGCAGGCGTTTCCTAGGCACGTCTGAGAAGCTCTGCTCCCTCCTGAGAAGCACTAGTGCCAACTACAAGCTGACTTTACCAGGACTTTGGTTCTCCGAAGTGCAGGTAGTTGATGCTGTACAGGTCCATGTCCTCAGTGTGCCAGGCAAAGGACGTCTTCCACATGCCAAAGTACAGGTACGGGGTGTTCACACCTTCGATGGTGATCCCACTCTCCTTTTCCACCAAGTCCAGGATTGTTCTCAGCCGGCCGATGTTCCACTCGTCAACATGCTGCGAAGGGAATGACAGTCCAGGGCAAGTCACGACGCATATAAACGGGGGCTCTGAACCGACAGATCACGGAACAGGTCACAGGTGAGCTAACAAAGACACAGAATGACATCAAAACAGCATGGACGTACAGACCACACCACCTCTCACCCCTTTTCACGGCCACCGCGGGAAACGACACCATTACAGGTCTGAGGGGCAAACACCATTCGGCGAGCACCACAGTGTACGAAAGACGAACAGAGAAGTGACAGCCGCCTGTTCTACACCCCAGGAAGTTTGGACTGAAGCCGAAGAAACTATGTCAACATAGGAAAAAACTCTTAAACCATAAAAAATACAAAACATGGGTCCTGAACGGTGTGACTCGGTTGGTCGGGGTCAACCCACAAAACCAGAGTTCAGGGGTTTGATTCCCAGTCAGGGCACATGCCTGGGCTGCAGGTTCAGTCCACAGTTGGGGCACACAGAGGCAACTGACTGATGTTTCTTTTCTCTCCCACTCTTTCTCCCTCCCTTCCCTCTCTCTAAAAATGAAAAAATAAAATCTTTTTAAAAAAGTACAAAACATGCAAATTAACTATAGCAATTTTGGACTTTTCTAGGCCTCATTTCCACGGAGCGGTGTTTTTGGTAAAAATTCTACAGTGTCACCCAAGTCCTCCTCCTGAGCTGCGACGGTAGGGTCAGCTAGGAGCCCACCGCCCACAGTGCATTACGGATTATTGTGCCCTGCTTGCTCCTCCCGTCCCAGGCCCTTACCATCATTCACGTCTGTCTATGTTTCATTTCCCACCACCCAAAAACTGTCCTCAGCTAACTTGGAATTCACTTTTTAAACTCCTTCCTTCCAATAACTTACAAAAGCATTAAAATTAATCTGAGTGATAACCCCTGAAATGCCCCCAAAATTTTTTAATCACCCAAAAAAACAGTCCAAACATTCCTTCCTTTTATATCCCAAGCCGGTGCAATTTGTTAAAACAGCTTTTGCTACAGAATCTTGTTTCCAGGTTCCAAAAATCTGAGTAAGTTTCTCTTCTTAAATATACACCCCTCCCCTTTCATTAGATTAGTCAGTGATCCTTTTTTCCTGCAGAAACCACACTGCCTCTCCCCCAACAACTCCTCTTTCCTTCCCCCCAACAAGTCATTTTCTGTGATCCCACCCTCTCAAGAACTCATCAGCCACCACCCACAGACTATTCTAACAGCCCTGGCGAAGAACGCCACATTATCCGATTCACATGTAGAGTAGGAGAAGTTACATTCACTCACATGCAAAAATACCCCACTTAAGTGAGCAAGGCACATCGGCTGGTGGTAGATCGTTCCTTTGTTCATCCGCCCATTCAGCAAGCAGCTCTGGGGGCCCACTAAGCACTGGGCAGATGAAACGGCCTTACATTACAAAAATGCTGCAGAGAGTTGCCAGTGAGTCTCACCTTTTCATAGAGAGTGCCATTCACATCTGCACCATAGATCGGAGGATTGAAAGTAAGATTTTTCCAGTATTTCCGTTCAAGCTCTTCAAACTCACTGTAGCGTGGGGTACAGTATCTTTCAAAAGTAAAAAAAGTGTTAATCACTTAAAAGGGACTAAATTCATTAGGCATTATGAATAGCACAAGACACAACTCCGTTCCAGGAACAAGATATTTCAAATTAACTTGACATAATCTTGGTCTTCAAGGCTCCAAGACACAGTAACTCCCTCAACATCCCTTCCATGAGCTCTTAGCCAAAGGAAGGTAATTAATGTACATGAAGCTGTAAGCCCATCTTCCTTAAGAAGCATGGTACGTACCTTCAAATGTCTTAAGAGAATCTACTCAAGTTATACCCCACTAAGATCAGGAGTGGACTAGCCACCCAGCGAGAAAAAAACTTGCAGACTTGTAAGATCCAAGAACTGCAAATCCCTACAATTGACCCTTGAACAACACAGGTTTAAACCGCTCAAGTCGGCTTACAGATGGATTATTTTTCTGTAAATGTATTTTCTCTTCCTTATGATTTTCCTAATAACATTTTTTCTCTACCTTAGTTTATTTTAAAAACACAGCATACGATACATAAACAAAATGTATTAGCAGACTGTCTGTGTTATCAGTAAGGCTTCTGGTCAACAGTAGGCTGTTAAGTTTTGGAGGTGTCAAAAGTTATACGTAGCTATGGTTGGTGTGGCTCAGTGGACTGAGTGCCAGCCTGTGAACCAAAGGGCTGCTGGTTTGATTCCCAGTCAGGGCACATGCCTGGGTTGCAGACCAAGTCCCCAGTAGGAGGCATGTAAGAAGTAACTACACATTGATGTTTTTCTCCCTCTTTTTCGCTCTCCCTTCCCCTCTCTCTAAAATTAAATTTCAAAAAAATTATTATTTTACAAAATTTATATGCAGATTTTGACTTTACAGGGTGGGGGTGGGGAATCAATGCCCCACCCCTACATTGTTCAAGGGTTAACTGTCTATACACAGACGACCACAAAACCCAACAGCCTGTGAAGAGCTGAAACCCAGGCATGGTGCCACTTCCCTGCATTCATGCAGAGGAAATGAGGGCACATTTGTATTGTCACTGCTATACTCCAGCACCCAGCGCAGTGGCTAACATTCAACAAACAGTCATGTTTAAAAGCAAAAATAGTTTAAACCCACTTAAAAATTATTACACAGCAATTTTAAAAAGAGTAATACATAAACCCAATAGGTATTTGAGCCCTGGCTAGTATAGCTCAGTGGATTGAGCACCGGCCTGCTAATGGAAAGGTTTCTGGTTCAACTCCCAGTCAGGGCACATGGCTGGGTTGCGGGCCAGGTCCCCAGTTGGGCGCTTGCGAGAGACAACCAACTGATGCTTCTCTCACACACTGATGTTTCTCTCCCTCTCTTCTTCCCTCCTTTCCCTTCTCTCTAAAAATAAATAAAATCTTTAAAAATTAAAAAAACCTTAAATAAACCTAAGAGGTATTTGAAAAGGCATCCTATAACTCAAAAGGCAAACGAATATCATAAGTGGTTAGAGTGGAAGCAAAGATCAAAATGAAATTGTGTGGAGATAAAGGGATGAGTGAGGGGAAAAAATCTCACTTTTTTAATATTTTAATGTCAACCTGATATATAATAAAGTTTAGAACTCTAAAGTTCTTCTTGAAATATAAATAACTCTTCCACCTCCCACTGATCTGCTTTATAAATTAAGATTTTTTACCTATTGTGTTTTGCTGACCAGGCAGATAGAAATCAAGGGTAAGACTTTGTTGTATTTGGGATGAAAAGAAAAGACACAGGACTGGTTAATTTAAAAAGAAAAGAAGTATTGTGAAAGAAGAAAAGGCCTACCATATGTTGCCGAGCAGAGGAGACAGGCACAGGAGGCTGAGGCCTCCGTGGAAGCCCATGTGAAACAGGAAACAGGTGTGCCGGGTGCTGTGGTCCCCACAACCCACCACCCCCACCCCCACCCGGCTCGAGATAAGACACAAAGGATGACACAGCCTTTCATCTGCAGAGCACGTCACACTTCTTCAACATGCCTGTACATAAATTATCTCATTAGACAGCGGGTTGGCCAGCAATATAGATGTTTTCAGTGTCAAGCTGTCAATAAAACTGGAAGACCGTATTTAGAACTGCGATAAGCCAGAGGAAAAGGCAAAGCATAGAATAGAAACAGCAAGATCTGATGTGAGAGAGGGAGGTGATAACGCGCATGAAGTCACGCCCCAAAAGTGTGAAGACTGGCAAGTTACAGATGTAGCTCGGGGCTTATTCACAGTGAAGGCGCAACACGTCTGACCGGCTAAAACAAGACATGCGAAGATCAGAAAGGCTCGAGAGAAAAAGCACGGGAAGAGGGAGGAAACTCAAAATTAAGAAGCAGCACAGGGAGGGAGACGATCCAAAGAAAAAGACTGAGAAGGGGCAGTGAAAACTGACAAGAGACAGACAAAATTCGTCCGCTGTGCACCTGAGGTCAAATGAGAGCTAAATGTTACAAACAGCAGTGAAAAACCACCAAAAACATCAGGCTCAAACAAAGACGTTTCTAAGAGATAAGAATGTACAGAAGGGGAAGAGTGGAGTCGGAGAAAACGGCAACCAGTGTGGCAGTTTACCCACACGGTGGTCATGTCAGAATGGAGGGAGACAGCATTTTCTGGGCTGTGAACATTCTAAGCAGCTCTAAGCATGATTCAAGACAGAAGGACCCAGAGGAAGGGATTCGACTAGTAATGCCACTTTCAGATAACCAGGTGGTATCAATATGTCTAGCAAAAGTTCCTTTTGAACCAACTCCAACTTTCTCCTTTGGAAATCTGCCATTTACCAGAGTCGAAAATCACTCTACTTCTAATGAAGAAACAATGGGATTACTTTTTGCGAGCATATGGACAAAACTGACACAGTACCGAGAGGAGGAAATGCTTCCAAATAAAGGTCAGAAAGGGAGACAGAAGCTAGAGCTGAGGAAACTGGCCTTCAGTGGGACAGCCACAGTCTTGAAGACAGCGATGACAACAGGCTGGGGACTAGACATCATGACAGATAAAGACAGAAGAGTGTTCTCACTCACTTATCACTATTGGCTATTTTGCGGAACTCTCGAACAGTCATGGCTTTCTTCTGTATGTTGTACTGAGTAAACAGGCCAGACTGCCCAGTCACCAGCTGCTGGATGGGAGCGGGAATGACCAGATCGTCGATGTCATCATAGGACGCTCGAGGCTTCCACTCCTTTGGAGGAACAACCTGTAGGGACACAACAAAGCGAAAGCTCAGAAACCCCGTGAGCTGGTCAGTGTCCAGGAAGTGTGGAGGCTGCTGTCCAATTTAACAGTCAATTTTACTGAAAGTTACTTGGATTTAACCACGCTCATCCAAACACAGGAAGTCACACTGTCATGTTAACCCTAATCCCGTGCTGTCACCAGCTGGCTGCCTAGTTGCCATGATGCCTTAAGGAAAGCGATACTTGCTTCTCAGCCTCAGTATCATATCTTACCAAGAGGGGAGGCTGAAGATCTGATTCTGTCTCAGACTAAGAGAAAGTCCACATGCGAAGCCAAATTACTACCAGAGTGCTGGCTGAGTGAAATGAGAAAAAGAGAAGGTGAATGGCACACCCACTCCATGACAGATAAAAAACCACTCAAGCACCATCTTCCTCGGGAAGATGGAAGCACCACAGTAGCTACCCTGAGACCCTGGCTCTTTATCTCCCCTTTAAAGATGCCAAGCAGCTCTGCCCTTACCTAAAAGAGAGATGCTTCAGATGTTAATGAAAGGAATTAACTTGCAAATAGGACAGCAGGCACTCAACTCATCACCCTGCCTGGCTTTCAGTAAACCTCAGTTCTTCCAGCATTCACTTAGGAAGTCTTCCCACTGTCCTGTCACAAAAGCCATTGCTGAACAAACCCACAACTCACCTTGGCCAGCCCAGCCCGGTGAGCTCCTTGGGATTCAATAAAGGCAATGTACCGACTGAAGTTCCGAAACTCCTCCATTGTTGGATAAAAGGTCATTATCCGGGCGCTGGGATTCAGGGTTTCGGATTCAGAAGCCATCTTCCCTCCTTCCTGAGGTGACTTTTGTCAAACAGGAATCTGAAGAAATGCATAAGAGCATAAAATTATATACAATGTAATTAAAATTAAACACTGGGAATGTCAGTGCTGAAAACACTAAAAGATGATGTAGAAATTCTGAAGAAGTATTAAGACCTCGCACCTAGAATCTACCTCTAGGTAAGTTACTTAAATGAACTAAAAATACAGACAAAGGCTCTGTTTAGAAGAACATAATGTATCAACACTGCATGTATTCAAATATTATTTAAATGGAGACAATGTTTCAGCTAAAAAAAAAAGGGGGAAGAAATCAGGATATCTAACAATACAGCAGCACTGCCCATATCTTACACTTATCTTTTCAAGTTGATCCCTTAGCCACACCTTGCTAATTGCTTCTCAGAGTATTAAACATAATACCCTATAACCAGATTTTAAAAGCAACCTATGAGTTCCCTTCTCAGAAACAGCTTTTAAATAGGATTCTAGATTCCTAAGAAAAGTTACTTAGCTATGAGGTTACAAAGTTTAATGGTTAAAAAAAACTTTGATATCAGTAGCTCGAGCTATGATTTTTAAAACCATATCTAAACCACAATGCAGTTTCAACAGTATTCAATGAAGTCAAGCTAGAGACTGGTTTAATTGCACTGCACCCAAAACTCAAAGGACAAAATTTAAACAGGCAATAAACTGGCAACACAGGGCAAACTTCATAACTGACTGGAAAGGGGGAAATACTTTGTTTTTAGACTAGGACTCCATGCTAAGTGGGTACATTCCCATTATCAGATACTACAAAAGACTATTACGACTGAGTAAGAACCAAGCAGATCAGCTCAAAAGGACCAGTTAAGAAGCAAAAAGGAAACTCTAAACTCCCCCAAAGCCATGGCAGTTCGGTTCCAGGAGGTCCCTTGAGAGCTAGAGAACTCAGAGGGAAGGAAACTGCCTCCAACCTACCAGCAATCTAGTAGACAGCATGGAGAACTGTATGAGGTATGAGAGAATACAGGGTCTCCTACTAAGGCCTCTCAGACTGCCATTTCACCAAACATAAAGTGTGCCCTGGCCCAGTGCTCTTCATGTGCCTTGCCAAACCATGGCACGGCAATATAGTATCATCCCTGTTTTACATACCAGGAAATATGCCCGCAGTCCCGTAATGCACTCCTGATGCTCCTTCTATTACTCTATGCTGCCTACATAATAACCTCCACCTAGACTAAGCCCTTTAAAAGGGCAGATCAAGTGTGGAGGAACCTGAAGTATATTCAATTTTGAAGACCCTATTTTTTAAAAATACAAAACACCTTACTTTTGCAAATTTTACCAAAAGATACAATCACGTGAAAACAGTGCTGGGGCCCATCGCCTCTGGCCTTACTCATCTTTGTATGCCTAGAACCTAGAACAATGCACCGCACAGAGTAGGCACTCTGTAACTGCTGAATAACTGATTTCCTTGCCCTCATCTCTGATGCTCATTCCCTTTCTTCCACCCTTGGATTCCCTTCCCCCAACCTACTCCCTGGGGACAGCTCGGGTTCCCTGACACCTTTCTCCCATCCAGCAACAAAGCCTAGTGGTTTGAGAGCACCGACTCCGAAGTGAAAGCAACTCTAAATACAGATCCGGTCTCTGCCATTTATTAACTGTGTGACCTTGGCTGTGTCAGTTTCCAGAGCCTCAGTTTCTCCACCTGTAAGATGGGGGTCCCAACCTCCTTGCTGGCAGGGTTGCTGTAATTAACTCAGATGATGCAAGCAAAATGCTAAGCACTAGGCCCGGTACTTAACCACTCTATAAAGGTAGCTATCGCTAACAACCACTTCAAATTCCCGCCCCCTCCCCTCACACCGCTCCCGCGGGTATCGCTCCCAAAGCAGCCCCTAGCTCCCAAGTCCCCAAACCTCACCGTGCAAAGGGCCAGCCCCTCCCGGCCCCGCCGCCTACGAGAGAGGGGCCCGGCCGCAGGAAGAAAATACGGCCCAGTGGACCCGCCCCCCTTTCCGACGATCATTGGCCATAAGAAATTGGAAAGGACCAATCTCGGGATGCACTTTAGAGGCTCCTGCTTCCATTGGCTGAGAACCGTGTCCATCACTCACCCCTTCCCCTCCCCCACCGGATCTCACGGTCAAGGCCGAAGGAACAACAAATCTGAAAGATTACAAAACCCTCCGGTTCTCACCTAAAGCCCACCGGCCCGGCCGGGCTAAGGCCCAGTTTCTGCTGTCGCCACTAGCCGATCTCACTGCTTTTCCTTCTAGCAAATGAAGCTCCGCCTCCTCTAAAGTCGGTCTCAGCGCAGCCGCACAGTGCTTCACAGAGTCAACCAATCCGAGGCTCACTACAAGCAACCCTCAAAAAACCAATGAACACGCGCTGCGGACGCTCCCAAGTCCGGGTTTATGAATCTGCTCAGCCTATGAGAGCTGGCTAGGGCTGTTGCCAGGAGAAAATGCCGCACCACTCGGGACCGCGGCCACTGAGCATCTCCGCTAAATGTGTAGTGGGCCTATCACAGGCAGGCTTCTGGCGGCCCGTAGCTAATCGGGATAGAAGGACGCGAGTGCCTAGAAATGGGATGGTGGGAAGGGGTAAATGAGATTACTGTCCGATTCCTCTAACGAAAGGGTGGGGCAGAACCTTTTGGGGCTGAGTTAGGACCTTGCCTGAGGTAGAAGTGTGTTAAGATCCCTTAAAGGGAAGCTTCCGAGGACAAGGAATGCCTGATAAGGTGACTAACTTGTCTCGGTTTTTAAAAAGCAAAGTCCCATCCTCTGGGAATCCCCTCATTCGCCGGCCTACCGACGACATTTGAAGGGAACCGCTCCTGAATTGGCAAGGAGCCCTGCGGGTTATTAGGACAGATCCTAAGGGGCAATGTCCTTAAAGTCATTAAAAAGCAGTTCCCGAGTGAGCGAGAATTTGGTGGTCATTAGGAGGAGCTCTTGGGGAAGAGATCCTGGGAGTCGTTAGACGCACCGTGGGGGAGGGGGCTTCTAGGAGTCATTAGGAGCGGTTCCTGAGTAGTAAATCGCCATAATTAAGGAGTTCCCAGATTGTCAAGGGGGATGGGGCAGGGGGTGTAACAGGACGCTCCGGTGGGTCAAATAGAAAAAGCAGTATTCTCACAACCAGTCATTAAAAAAATAAAAGTACAAAATTACCCATAAATAAGTAATGCTGTCGTGACCTGGAAAGAGCTATGGAGTCAGATTTGTGTTCCAAACCAGTGGTCCTCTGAGTGTGGAATTTCGAATCAGCAAAAGGGAGCAAAACACTACTACTAGCCTTGCAGTATTGTGATATCGATGAGAGCTAACACACGCTGAGAAAAAGGATGGCATTACATACAATGGTTCGACGTGGACCAGTGGTAATATAGCCCATGCTTTCCCCTTCCTACCCCCAGAAGCAAAGTTCTGTTTCCAAAAAGACAAGGGAAATGACCATTGTGGCGGGGGTGGGGGCAGGTAGTTAACCATTAATCTTTCACAATTATAAGGTTTTTCTCTCTTGACCTAGTGAGGTAATACATTAGATTGTGTTGGGTATCTCACAAAATTGCTATGCCTCTGAAGTACCCAACTTGGGGGTTCTTCCCACCAAATCGCGCCACAGAAGTCACCCACCTCTACTGTCCTTGCAAAATTCAGTTTGCTTCAGCCTCCACCGTCCTGGAGGTGGATATGGTTCCTAGCCTTGCTGTTACTACCAGATACTCTGTGAATTTAATCTCATTAACATTTCCTGGTGCTGCCAAAAAGGATTTTCTAGGGTGGCTGCGGCTTTGTTCAATTGGTGTGTGCACGTGAAAGGTGGGGCCTGGATCAAGTTCTCTTGACACTCTCCCATTTCTCTGACCAGCTTATTTTAGTCACCTTTTGAAGCTTATCTTTCCTTTGCCACTCCCTCTGTGTTGATATACAAAGCAAAAAGTCAAAGGCGTGGTTACCTTTGGATAGGTGATGGGGAGATGGGGAACAGGGGCTGCACCAATAGTGCTTCTGAGCTGTTAGGAATGTCCTATTTCTTAATCTGGATGGTGGTTTCTACACTGGTCTGTTCACATTTTTTTTTTTTTAAGATTTTATTTATTTTCAGAGAGAGGAGAGGGGAGGGAGAAGAGACGGAAAGAAACATCAATTGGTTGCCCCTCGCACACCCCCTACTGATCACCCTGCCCACAGCCCAGGCACGTGCCCTGACAAGGAATCGGAGACCTTTCAGTTGGCAGGCCAGTGCTCAATCCACTGAGCCACAGCAGCCAGGACTGGTCTGTTTGGATTGTAAAAATTCCTTGAGCATATAAGTTGTGCATAGCATTCGATGTACATGATACCATAATTTTTTAAGTTAAATTACAAAATTAATAAATTTTTTAAAGAAAATCATGTTGATGTTCTCATGGTTATGTCCTTTGCCCTCTTTTCTCATTCTACAAAGTATTCTTAGGTGTTTCTGGTTTCACAACTTACTAACAGCAGTAAGTTACTTAATTTCTCCAATCCTCAGTTATCTAATAACTAAAACTGGAACAGTACTTCCCTTTCTTGGTTGTGAGAATTGAATGAGATAATGCAGGTAAAGCACTTTGATGCTGAATTGGCATGTAGTAAGTGGTTAGTAAATGTTACTTGCACTGAGGGATGATGACGATGGTAATGATATAAAGCACCTAGCCCATAGTTTGAAACAAGAGCTCAATACACATTTGATCCACGGCTTCGCGCATGTGCGTGCACTGACGACACCCACTCTGTACTCCGGCATACGCTCCTCTCCCCTGAGTTCAGATCCATACGTTCTCCTATGTCTAGATCACTCCCCTCCAGGTATCCTACAAGTACCTAAAACTCACATGCCCAATAAAGAACTGCTCTGCCTCTCAAATGAACTTCACCTCCTAAGTGTCCTATCTCAGTTATTAGGGCACCATCCACCCAATCACCTAAGGCAGAAACCAGTAAGCAGCCAGGGACTCCTTCATGGGTCCGTTACCTCACTCTTCACAGAGTTCCACAAAGTAAGTGTTTTACAAGTGCATGAGTGTTTACAGGCCCATCTTTCTCCACTGGTCAAAACTCTCTCTCAAGTATCATGTCAGTCCCACCTGGTGTGGATTGAGTGCCGGCCTGCAAACCAAAGGGTCACGTGTTCAATTCCCAGTCAGGGCACATGCCTGGGTTATGGGGCCAGGTTCCCAGTGGGAGCACATGAGAGGCAACCACACATTAATGTTTCTCTCCCTCTCTTTCTCCCTCCCTTCCCCTATCTCTAAAAATAAATGAATAAAAGCCCTGGCTGGCATAGCTCAGTGCATTGAGCTCGGACTGCGAACCAAAACATCGCAGGTTCAATACCCAGTCAGGGCACATGCCTGGGTTGCAGACCAGGTCCCCAGTGGGGTCACATGAGAAGCAACCACACATTGATGTTACTCTCTCTCCCTCCCTTCCCCTCTCTAAAAAATAAACAAACAAACAAATAAATAAATAAAATAAATGAATAAAGTCTTTAAAAAAATAAAGAGTATCATGTCAGTGTTATTGGCAGTATCCTTTAGAAATGTGTTTCATTGCCAGAAATAGAACCCTAGCAAGAGTGGCTTGAACAAACATGAAGTTATTTTTCTCATGTGACAAGAAGTCTGAAGGGGGCATTTATTGGCATTGACTTAGTATTCAGCAAAGACGCCAAAGATGCAGTCTCCTTCCATCTTCCCCCATTCATAACCTGGGTTTGGCCTTCGTATGTGCGCCTCACAGTGGGAGGGTGATTGCTGTGGCCCTAGGCATCCTGTCCACATCCATGGTGATGAGGGAGAAAGGGAGCACATCAGGAACACCTGTTCTTCCTACCAGATGAGGCAAGAAGTCTCCCGGAATCTGCTCACCTGTTACTGAAGGCCCACCGTTACCAAATAAGTGGAACAGTCCCTTTCTGCCCTCATGGCGTTTACAGTCTAGTGAGGGAAACAGGCATGAAACAAGTGTTCAAGCAGATAAAGAAAATCACAAAAGTTGTGCTTGCTATGGATAGAAAAAGACGGGGGATACAGCTTTTAGAGTGATTTGTTAGCCATGATGGTAGGATCTGGAGATAAACTGTCATTTTGTCCAATGCCTAGCATATAGTAAGTATTACATCGGTAACAATAATGGCAATATTATTAGTTTTCAAAGTTAACTACACTTAGCCCTTATTATGTTCCAAACACTATACTGAAAAGTTTAATACCCGTATACACAAAAGTTGTTTACGTCGTCATTAACATTTTTTATAAAAACAACTTTATAGTGGTATTATTTAGACACCATAAAATTTGCCCATCTTAAGGGTATAATGTAACGATTTTTAATAATTTACCACCTTGTGCAACCAGCACCCCATCCAGTTTGAGAACATTCCCGTCACTTCAGTAAAATCTGCTACCTCAGTAAGATGCCCATGCCCAGTGACCAGCACTCTCTGCCCCCACTGCCAGCCCCGACCACCATGCATCTACTCTGTCCTTATCGACGTGCCTTTTCTGGACATTTCATATAAATAGAACCATACAATATGTGCTCTTTTGTGTCTGAATTTTTTCATTTAGCAATAATTTTTTCTGAGATTCATCTAAGTTGTAGGATGCATCAGTATTTTATTTCTTTTGATGTTGAATAGTATCCCATTGTATATTTTTTAAGATTTTATTTATTTTTAGAGAGAAGGGAAGGGAGAGAGAAAGAGGGAGAGAAACATTGCAACCCAGGCATGTGCCCTGACTGGGAACCGAACCCTCGACCCTTCGGTTTGCAGGCCAGGGCTCAATCCACGGAGCCACACCAGCCAGGACCATTGTATAATATTTTTTAAGGGTTTTGTTTCTTTACTTTTAGAGAGAGAACAAAGGAGGGAGATAGAGAGGGAGAGAAACATCAATGTGTGAGAAATACATTGATTGGTTGCCTATCGCATGCTCCCTACTGGAGACCTGGCCTGTAACTCAGGCATGTGTCCTGACTGGGAATCGAACCTGTGGCCTTTTGATTTGCAGGCTGGCACTCAATTCACTGAGCCACACCAGCTAGGCCATTGTAGTATTGACATTTGGGTTGTTTCTACTTTTGGCTGTTATGAATAGGGCTATCAACATTTATGTATTTATGTGCAAGTCTTATTGAAATGTATGTTTTCATTTCTCTTTGTTAGTTAATTAGGAATGGAATTTGTGTTGTACAGTAAATTTGTTTTTTAATAAACTGCCAAACTGATTTTGAAAGTGGCTATACATTTTACATTCCCACAATATAGGAGGGTTCCCGTTCACCATATCTTTGCCAGCATTTGTTATTGT